GTGGTATGTCAATTAAACATGCCAGGACAAAGTTGGAAACAGAAAATTGGATACAATTCATTATCCATTTGTAAAACAGTAAGAACTTGACCCAAGTTTTGTGGTAGTAAAGAAATGAAGATGATGAGAAGGTAGTGAGGATACTATCACTTGAATGGTAGTACCACATCATATCACTTGAATGATAATGGAGAATGTAGACTCCAGGAGGTAGAGGCTTGATGAATACTGAGATATAAAGATAAGGGATTAAAACTCAAGAGTGGTTCAGATATTTTCACCTGATGAACTTAATCAAGGAGATATTCACAGAGGTGTATTCTATAGGCTGGGTAGCAGGTTTATTAGTGAAGATGGTGATTTCAGTTTGGGGTACATTGAATTTTGTTGATGCTTGGAACTTCAAGTGGATATGTCTGGTTGGAGACATACTGTCTGGAATTTGTAAAAGAAGTCTGAATTTTGGGAATATTATTACATGTTGCAGATGAAACCCTGGGTTCATGTTATCACTCAGGGAGAGGATTTTCAATAAGAGGAAGGATAAGAAATGTTACAGTTGAAAGAAGGATGGATAAAGAGGAGTGTAAAGTAATTAAAGTAATTAAAGGAGTGTCAAGCAATAAAACACCAGCAAGAAGTGTGGTTTTTTAAAAATTAGATTTTTAAAAGAGGTGAGAAGACTATTCAGATTAAGAAGCATCAGAAAAATATGTGAGGCTAAATCAGGAAACTGTGGTGTCCCACAAATGAAGTGAAGAAAACAGAGTTTAAGAATTGCAAGAGGTCCAAGAAGAAAAACTTTAGAAGTGTCCCAAGCATGTGACTGGAGCCTTGCAAGAGTGGAGTGGTGAAGTGAAAGTCAGTATTGGTTGGTCAGGGAACTTGGGGAGATGAGGAAGAAAAAGAGAAATTTCACTGTTTGGAGAAGGAGGTAGGTTTATTTTAAACTGTGAGAGACTTGAATGTACTGGTGTGCAAGGGAGTGACAGCTGGGATAGAAGAAAAGGAAAAGGATAAAGAAACAAATGCTCTTCCCTCCTTGTTAGACTTAATTTTTCCCCCTTTTTTAATGGTAACCAGATCTCAAAATTGATGATTTTCTTTCCCAAAGACAGGATTTTACACCCTTAGAAATATTTAACCATTTCACCTCTCCCTTCTCCAAGGTTTAGCCTTTGCATATCTATCAAACTCCACTTATTGTTGAAGGAGTTTACGGGTACTTGACTTTATCTCCATTATACAAGAATTGTTATAGCATCCCACTCTGAAAAAAATATCTGTGGTTTCAACATCCGAAGGATTAGAATGTGTTCAATGCTGGGCAATGAGATAATTTTTTCGCAGTAAGCATCTTTCTTCTTTCCTTTGTTTTGTTTAGTGGGTTTCTTTCAAGAAAGTAACAGTATAGGGAAAACCTTAGCAGTACCAGAAAAACGAATGTTATCCTTTTTTCTAGGTTTCTTTCAAAAAATTTTTAAACTTGTTCAAGAAGAAAAGTTTACCCTAGAACTGACTCAGACGTTGTTGGAATGTACGAAAGAAAACGTGACCATGGAAGGTAAGAGATAATATGCGTATAAATGAATTGCTGACTATAATGGGTAAATGCTGCTATTTGCGGGGGGGGGAGGGGTTGGAGTAGGTCACTGGGGACAGTGACCCAGGGGTCCCCTTGGTCCATTCAGGGCCGGCTGATTACTATCCTCTTACCCCCTGCAGTCAAACTGTGACAGATGAATGAAGGAATGGAGGCCATAGACTGCAGTTAATCAGTGTCCATTTAGTCAAGTCACACAGCATTAGTTATAGAGAAACCAAGAAGGGTTGGGGGGTAGCAATTACACAAAGGTGTGGTTGAAAATCATACTAAATAGTAAACAGATGTAAAGCCCTTCCTTCTTGGGGAGTTCTAGAAGATTCACCTAAGGACAAAATCTCATCTGAGGCGCCAGCACTGTAGATCCCTACTAGGAGATCCGCCCAAGGGCAAATTCCATCTAAGGGGGTTATTGCTTTCTCCTTTCCTTTGTTAGTAATCCATTTAAAGGACCATATTAAATTTACTCCTCAATGATATTTCTAGTCATTTTGTATGAACAGAGTAAGAGATATATTAAGCTTAAGGGTTGGTTCTTCCTGGGGACATCTCCCTCGCTATATATCCCAGTCTGTAGTCCTTTGGCCAGGTTGATCTTTCCTAACCCCAGTAGGGTCCTTATTCAGTCACTCTTTTTTTTTGCTGTTGTCAGTTTTTTTCCATAACAATGCTCTTAACTTATTATGCTTCTAATGATATTTTGTCTGTCCCTTTTCAATGCCAGGGTAGCTTATGACTTACCTTGGGTCCATCCATGTCCCTGCTGGGAACCCCCCTTTTGGGGTCCTAGGAACTGAGGACAATTGAGGCTTAAGTCAACTAAATATGATGGATGCCCAAGAGTGTTGGATAACACTGGGTTGTCTTTGCTGCTCCCGCAGCAAAGGTCTTTTGAGCCACTCCTAGAACAAAGCAACTGAGGCACAACTAAAAATCCTATATTGCTTTTCTTTTTCCTTTTTTGTCATTTGTATGGTATATTTAGTAATGCTCTTTTTGTATAGACACAGAAAAACAATTGATGCTATGCTATGTAACATGGGAGTTAATTGACTCCAAAATAATATTTACTCCTGGGCATCCGTATTTACTTGACTTAAGTCTCAGTTGCCCTTAGTTCCTAGAACTCCAAGAACAGGTTCCTGATGAGGAACTGATGGACCAAGGGCAAGCTGTGAGCAACCCTGGCATCAAAATGGGCCAGGCCAGGCGCCATAATACTTAACCATAATTTAAGAGCACAGTCATGTACAAACTCTGTCATGACCCAAAAGAGGTAACTAAATAAGAACCTTGCTGCATTTAGGAAGACTAACCTGGCCTGAGGACTGTGGTTTGGAATATATAGTAGATGTCCTCAGGAAGAACCAAATTCTAAGCTTGATATATCTCTTACTGTGCTCATACAAAATGACATTGCTAGAAATATTAGAAGTAAATTTAGTATAACTATTTACATGGATTACTAGCTGAGGAGAGAGGAGAGCAACACACACCCTGGATGGAATCCCAACCTTGAGCGGATCTCCTAGTAATCTGGAGTAATCTCTTTAGATGAGATTTTGTCCTTGAGATAATCTCTTGGAAGAGTGGCCTTACCTCTCTTTGTTGATAGGTTAATGTTTAACCCCACCTTTGTATCTCCACCCTACATGATCTCTATATAAACTATTCTGTAAGGGGCTGAAGAGGTCAGGTCAGATGGTTAGAAGGTTGGGAGAAGTCAGAAGATTACGAGGTTAGGAGGTCGCCAAGGTTGCCACAGTCACAGGGTTAGAAGAGAAAGAAGAAAAAGAGACCAGAGACTGAAGAAGAATACAATGGCAGCAGACTAGAGAGAGACAGGTAGAAAAGAGCACAACAGCACACATAGAAGCAGAACACACACACAAAAAAAACAATAAAAAAAAGAGCACAGCAATGAAGAGAAGACAACAAGGATATGAGGAGGAAAACTGTGACTTTGGAGACTTTGAGGTCCAAGAGGAGACTAGGATGGTGGAACTCTGATGACCAAGACTCTACAGCCGTAACAACGACTACAACTGTGCTGTAAAGGGAGAGATCAGACAATGCCGAGGAGTCCTGCCCGTTGTCTGTCCTTGATCCATTGTCCTGGTTCCTGGGGAGGCCACTCCCGGTCCACTGAATGCTGGCCTCCGTATCCTGCCTGCACCTGGCCTTCGCGGGGGCCTGCCTCTGCCACAGCCCACTGTTTCTTACGTCTTCTGTATGGTTTCGTTTCTTGTATCATGTGTTGAGTTGAAGTGAGAAAACTCAACACAGGAGTAACTATTTGGAGTCAGTTAACTCCCATGTTACAAAAAAGCATAGCATTAACTGTCTTCCTGTATCTATACAAAAAGGACATTGCTCTGAAGGAAACTATGCAAAGGACATAAGGGAAAGAGAAAAGCAATATTTCACTTATAAATAGAAAATCCAGAGTCCTTAGAGAAGGATCTCACCTATCAAGTCACAGGATCTGATTTGGGGATATAAGTGATTAAGAGATAAGGGAAGCAGAGCACAGAGGAGAAGTTAAAGATAAACACAGAGGAATGGGAGTGCCTCAGGAGCACTGTGATTGGTGTAACCCAACAAACCTAAGCTCCCTGCACGAGGGAGAAAGGAGAAACCAGTGTTATCCTACACCAAACTACAACAATTTTGAGAATTTAAACATTCTTGGCATAAAGAGTAATTTTTCAATGAAAATGGGAAATGCATTTTTGCATTTTCTTCTGAGATTCTGAATCTTTTTCTTTTTTTAAGGTTCCATCAACTGTCTCCCTCAACTCTTGCACCCCACAGACACATCTGGTGGTTTTCAGGGCTACTACTGGCACTACACTTTGGGATCACTCCTGGTGAAGTTTAGGGGATCACTTGTAGTACTGGATATTGAATTTGGGTCTGTATGTACAGGCAAACACCCTACCCACAGAACTCTTTCTCCAGCTCCCAAGTCTGGGACATTGAAAAGTATTTTGGTTCTAGCTACCTTTCCTGACTGCACACAGGCAAGGAAATGGGGAAATGCCTGTTACTGCCTGATGCAGGTGGGCTTGACCTACATGATACCTGATGGGGATGGATCCTGCTTACTAACCGGTGAACATGGGAATTGTGATTCCACAAGATCTCTTTTGCTCTTTAATTTTTAAAGCACGCATACTTAAAATTACTTGTCTCGGGCCAAGGGGTTACAGCACTAGTCTTGTATGTGTTTAACCATGGTTGTATTTCTTGCACTAAATATGACCCCCTAAGGACCACCAAGGTGCAATCTGAGTATAGAGCCAGGAGTAGCCCCTGAACACTGCTGGGTGTGAACCTAAAATAATAAAACATTACCTATATTATATTGTACTAATATGGCCAAATATCAACACAGGTAAGTCCTGGAGCTGCTGCCCAAAGAATTGGAAGTCCTTTCGTTCAAACTGCTACCTTTTTTCTTCTGAGGAAAAAAACTGGACTGACAGTGAGAAGCACTGTGCAGGGATGCAGGCGCATCTGGTGGTGGTTGACAGCAAGGAGGAGCAGGTACTTTTTGGTCAACAGTGGAGTCACGGTCCTGCCAGCTCTGTCCCCCTCCTGCTTGGGAGGAAGTTCTCATGGTCAGGGGTGTTGCTGCCAAGGCATAAGGCTTTGGATAAAATAGATGGGATTGGACTACTAATTTTTTGAATTCTACACCTTCTTATGATTCCATTTAAATCCTCCCCATCAATGTAGTGGGGTGTTATAAGGAGGCTTGAGTGGAAAGATGGGTATACCTGAATCTGAAATATCAGTTAATTATATGAACCTACATACATTTTATAAATTATTGCTGTTTCAATGGGCATATCTCTGGCCCTGGAATTGGAGGTTGCTCCAAGCAGAGGGGTTAATCTACTGGCAGCCGATCTGCTTTTTTTTTTTCTTTTGAAATCTATTTTTTATTTTTATTTATTTATTTATTGAATAACTGTGGGAAAAGTTACAAAGCTTTCAGGTTTAAGTCTCGGTCATGCAATTATCAAACACATTTCCCTTCACCAATACTTATTTTTCACCGCCAAGGACCCCAATAACCGCCCCCCCCAACCCTCCCAATGCCTGTGAGGCAGATGAATTCTAATTAACACTCTGTCTACTTTGATTAGATTCATTGTTTTTAACAAAAGATGCACCATTATTATATAGAGTTTACACCTCCAAATTGAACATGCTGAAAAGGCATTGTGAAATAATTTGTTTTTTACAGCTGGTTACAAGAATCAAATAATTTTGGATTTCTGGTATTTTACTTATTAAGTCTGGGAGTATTTCTGCTGAGAGTCAGATAATTATGAGATTGGTTTCTGTTCTCTGGAGCCATGCCCGTGCTGGAGAGCCGCTCGTGGGGGCAACTCGTGACCTCGGTAGGGCGTGAAGGACGAGCTGGGAACGCCCCCCTTCCCATGAGGTTTCAGTCGCCCCATCATGACCGGCTCATACCTGGCTTACCATAAAGCTCCGAGGTGGCTGCCATCTTTCTTTCCAGAGGGGAAAAGGAGGAAGGGAGCAACACCCTTTCCCCTCCGGCCGATCTGCTTTTGGTATGTCATCCTAAGCATGATCTTTCGCATTTTGTAGCCAATTGAGAACTACTGGTGGGGTAGGGAGGCCTGGCTCTTATAGTCTCCAAGCACTAATAAAATGACAACTGCCACAACAAGAAGCAGGAAGAGGAAATGAACAATGTGTGATCAATTGAGAATAGCCCTAAGTGAAAAAGGAAAGGAGCAAACAGCAATGAAGTGAAATAACTTAAGAAATTATCAAGAGAAAGAGAATTCATGTGCAAAATTTCTTCTCTAGAGCTTTGAGACTCCCATCTCCTACTGTTGAAGTGGGAGTGAGTGTGAGATGATGATTCACTGTGAGCACGGACAGAAATCTCTGCCCTGCGTGCTGGACCCTGCAATCCTCTAATGGACTTTGCTCTGAATTGCTAAATTAAAATCCTAATTTCCAAAGTGATATAGGAAATTGTCTCAGTGGAGCATCCTTAGATATGAGACAGGAGCCTGCATGAATGGCATTTGTGTTCTTAGAAAGGAGACAGCTCATACTTTTTTCTCTCTCTCTCTCCATATAAGCTCACTATGAGAGCAATTTTGAAGAGGAAATGGGGTCTTTTCCTGATCATTTGTTTTCTGATCTGGGAACATTAGTGTGCTAACAATTTCAGTCATTTATAAGCTGCCCTGAATGTGGGGCTTTGTAGAGAGGTCTGAACACCTAAGACAAACACCATCTTCATGAGATATGCTTTTGATCTTGACTGATATTTTTCAGTCACAGAAGACCTAGACCTCTGGGTGCCTTTTCATGGACCCTTTCATTTTGGTGTTCTCTTTTCCCTGTGGCTGTAGCACTGTAGCACTGTCATCCTGTTGTTCATCAATTTGCTTGAGCGGGCACCAGTAATGTCTCCATTGTAAAACTTCTTGTTACTGTTTTTGGCATATGGAATACACCACGGGGAGTTTGCCAGGCTCTGCCGTGCAGGCGGGATACTCTTGGTAGCTTGCTGGGCTCTCCGAGAGGGATAGAGGAATCAAACCTGGGTCGGCCTCATGCAAGGCAAACACCCTAGCTGCTGTGCTACCGGGAATCAAATCTAGGTGAAGGCTATAAGCTCTAATTCACTTCTATTCTTTCCTAGGACTTTATTAACAAGAATGTGAACAGACGTTATGCTTATTACTTGGGGCTGTCAGATCTGAAGAATGGTCACTGGGAATGGGTTAATGAGACACCATACAATCAAAGTGTCACGTGAGTGTTGAATTTGGTAAGGGGATCCTGAGTCCTGCAGATTGTAGGGACTTTAGGACCCTCCAACTAGCAACTTTTAAAACAATATAGCTCAAACATAACTTCTGGACATTAGTTTGCATGTTTGAATTTGCATCCTGCTACTAATCGCCTCAAGAAGTCTATAGAGCATCATTTTCTCTTTCTCCTTGTAGAAATGAGGACACTGAATTTAAAGAGTTTAGATACCTCAGGAAACGTTTTCTGTAGTGGCAGTGATGATCTTCCCACCCAGGTTTACTTGATATGAAAGCCTGTGCTTGTGAAATTTGCATATTCAAGATAATAAAATTCATGTCAAGAAAAATCATAGCCATTCTTACAATTTAATCCCTGCCCTAAAGCAATAAGCTAAATTCTGATAGTCCTAAAGTCTCTTATATTCATGTAGTAAAAAAAAAACCCTGTTAGGCCAGAGTGATAGTATAGCATGTAGGATGTCTGTTTGCATTGCATGTGCTCCCGCCACCTCCTGTATCACTCCCTCACAACCCATATGGTCCCCCAAGCACTTCTAGGAGTAATTTCTGAGTGAAGAGCCAGGAGAAGCCTCTGAGCAATGCTGGGTGTCACCAAAGAAGGGAATACAAAAACAAAAACACAAAGATACTTAAAACACGTCTCATGCTCCAAAAGTAGTACATAAAAAAGCCCATGCTATCGATATGACCAGGATTAAAATTTTTGGTCAATAAAGGGAGCCCATGGTATCAGGGCACAAGCATCGACTGAGAAAGGTACATCTGCAGGGAGGGTGTCTGACACAATGGGATGGAGCAGCTCTGGGGGACGGCAGCCCCATTTTCAGGGGAAATACCAGCAACAGACTGATGGCCACGTGTGAGGAGTGGGGAAGCCATGATTTGTGTGTCTCTGACCTGACCTCCATAACGCTCTATGGCAGTCCTTGCTTCACTGTCTCTTTTCAAAGACAGTTTGAGAAACATACTTACCCTGTTCTCCTTTTTTCAGGTTCTGGCATCCAGGTGAACCCAATAATGACAATGAACATTGTGTTATATTAAATTTTCGTCAAGTAAAATGGGGCTGGAATGATATCTTTTGTAATGTGTCTCTCTCTTCAATTTGTGAGATGTTGAAGATCTACTTATGAATGGAACATTCTCCATGATCCTGTGGTAGAGTTGTCCTGGTTCATTACAGAGACAGCTAATTTGCTTTTGTGCATCTCTTATAAGGGATCAACAAAGAAGCTTTCAGCAGTGTGCCACTTATGACAAATCAGTGTACATATTTCTTCATTTATTCATTCAAAAGAACCAACAATTATTGAACATTTTCCAGTGAAGACACCATATTGGGCAATCTTTTCATTGACAACTAGAGGAAATCTGAGTGTCCTAATTTTTGTCCAATTGCTCAGGAATTAGCTGTGGTTACATTATGTGGCTCCCTATCTCCAATGCTCTCTATGGAATGATCAATGGGAAAATAATCCCAAGTGTTAATTTTGTTTTTTTCTGAGCTAGATAGGTCATGCTGAACTGAAATCACATTATGAAACATTTGAAAAATAATACACATTAATGGAAGAAAAGCCTTAGCTTTGATGCAGTACATTCTATGTCTAATCTTTTTTTAAAAAAATATTTATTTGATTCAGCCGAAGATAAGGACTACATGGAGGGCGGGATCCACAGATCCTGAAGGAAAAAAAAAAACAGGTTCCAAAAAGAGCGGAGATCATCGGGAAGTCCCAGATGGGGTAGGTACTGCATCCCGCCTCCCCCAGATGGAACCCCAGTGACCAGAAGCCTCTACAAGCACAGCTGGAGTATGCGGGAACTAGGACTTTTCCTTAAAACCCCGCAGCCGCGTAAGCGGCCGCACGACATCTCTCTATATACAAAGTGATCCATGGGAAGTAAACCACCCAATGTTTCTCTCTGAAAATCATAGTTAAGTTTGGAGCACAGCCACAGCCCCAGAAACACAAGGACTTAATGCATAACCCAGAAGCTTGGAGCAGAAAAGTGAACGGGCTATGCGTTAATCCAGGCCATCATGTCTGTCCGGAGGGGAAAGGGTGTTGCCCCATTAGCCCTCTCTTCTCTGGAAAGAAGGATGGCGGCCGCATGGGGGCCTTGTGGACAGCAGGTATGAGCTGGGGGTGTGGGGGCGACTAAAACCTCATGGGAAGGGGGGCGTTCCGGTCCGTTCTTCATGCCCTACCGAGGCCACCAGTTGCCCCCCACGAGCGGCTCTCCAGCACGGCCACAGCCCCAGAAGCACAAGGACTTAATGCAGAACCCAGCAGCTTGGAGCAGAAAAGTGAACGGACTTGCGTTAATCCAGGCCATCAAGTCTGCCAGAGGGGAAAGGGTGTTGCCCCATTCGCCCTCTCTTCTCTGGAAAGAAGGATGGTGGCCGCATGGGAGCCTTGTGGACAGCAGGTATGAGCTGGGGGTGTGGGGGCGACTAAAACCTCATGGAAAGGGGTCGTTCCAGTCCGTCCTTCACGCCCTACCGAGGTCACCAGTTGCTCCCCATGAGCGGCTCTCCAGCACGGCCAAAGCCCCAGAAGCACAAGGACTTAATGCAGCACCCAGCAGCTTGGAGCAGAAAAGTGAAAGGATTATGCATTAATCCAGGCCATCATGTCTGCCCGGAGGGGAAAGGGTGTTGGTCCCTTCCGCCCTCCTCCCTCTGGAAAGAAAGATGGCGGCCACATGGGAGCCTTGTGGACAGCAGGTATGAGCTGGGGGTGTGGGGGCAACTAAAACCTCATGGGAAGGGGGGCGTTCCGGTCCGTCCTTCACGCCCTACCGAGGTCACCAGTTGCCCCCCACGAGCGGCTCTCCAGCACGGCCAAAGCCCCAGAAGCACAAGGACTTAATGCAGAACCCAGCAGCTTGGAGCAGAAAAGTGAAAGGACTATGCGTTAATCCAGGCCATCATGTCTCCCCGGAGGGGAAAGGGTGTTGGTCCCTTCCGCCCTCCTCCCTCTGGAAAGAAAGATGGCGGCCACATGGGAGCCTTGTGGACAGTAGGTATGAGCCGGGGGTGTGGGGGCGACTAAAACCTCATGGGAAGGGGGGCGTTCCGGCCCATCCTTCACGCCCTACCGAGGTCACAGTTGTCTCACGCGAGCTGCTCTCCAGCACGGCCACGGCCCCAGAAGCACAAGGACTTAATGCAGAACCCGGCAGCTTGGAGCAGAAAAGTGAACGGACTATGCATTAATCCAGGCCATCATGTCTGTCCGGAGGGGAAAGGGTGTTGCCCCAGTCGCCTTCTCCTCTCTGGAAAGAAAGATGGCGGCCGCATGGGAGCCTTGTGGACAGCAGGTATGATCCGGGGGAGTGGGGGCGACTAAAATCTCATGGGAAGGGGGGCGTTTCGGTCCGCCCTTCACACCCTACCGAGGTCACCAGTTGCCCCCCACTAGCGGCTCTCCAGCACGGCCACGACTCCAGAGCACAGAAACCAATTTCTTAACTATCTGACTTTCAGTAGAAATACTTCCAGGGTCAATAAGTAAAATAGCAGAAATCCAAAACTAACATTTAATTCTTGAACCCAGCTGTAGAAAGCAAATCACTTCACAATGCTTTTTCAGCATGTCTGATTTGGGGCGGGGGGGGGGGGCAGTAAACTCTAAATAATAGTGGTGAATCTTTTATTGAAACAATGAATCTAATCAAAGCAGATAGAGTGTTAACTAGAATTCATCTGCCCCACAGGGACTGGGAGGGGTGGAGGATGGGGTTTTATTGGGGTTCTTCATGGTAAAAAATAAGTATTGGTAAAGGGAAATGTGTTTGATATTTGCATGACTGAGACCTAAACCTGAAAGCTTTGTAACCTTTCCCACAGTGATTCAATAAATAAATAAATAAAAAAGAAAAAAATATTTATTTATTGGGAACGACATATCCATCCTGTGGAATTTGGTATGTCAGCAAGTGGACATGGCTATCGAAGAGATTTGAGTAGAAGTCATGGATAATCTTCTCCATTGCCGTTCTGGAGGATGTGATGAATCCATCAGGACGTCAGAGGGCAGTCATCTTGGTCTTATAGTTGGCAAAGGACAGGCGGGCATTACGAATACTTTTCCCGGCTTCTGCCGCATCTACCAGTACTTCTGCTCTTCTCTCTTTGAGGTCTTCCTTGATCGCATCTCTGCACTGCTTTGCGAGCTCGGACATTAGCTTGCGGTTGCCTGAGGCATGCGCCAAACCACGCTGGCGAATTAGCTCAAGAGTTTTCGAAGATAGGCGATTTTTTGTGGCTATCTCTCTCTTGGTGTTCCTCGCACATTCATGGAGGTGCTGAACCAGTCGATCGTATTCCTCGTCAATGTTGTCAACAATGGCATCTTCCCATGTTGCCGCAATAGTACCAAAGAGTTCCCAGTTGGTGGTCATTCTGGGTGTTCTCTTTTTGAACTTTGCAGCCCTTTCTCCCCGCTCTGTGAAGTAGAATTTTCTACGAAGGAGACGGTGGTCCGATCCTGTTCGAAATTTTGGGACAACAGCGACATCAGTCAGGCAAAACCGTCGATTGAATATGATGTGGTCTATTTCGTTGTGGAATCGTCCACCGGGAGACTCCCATGTCCATCGTTTAGATTCTGCCTTCTGGAACTGTGAGTTACCATGAATGGTCTTGGTCGACATGATGAACTCAGACAGTCTCTCACCCTGTTCGTTCCATTCTAGGCCATTTATTGTTCTCCCTTCTGAAATCCGTCACGCCATTTTGTCGGTAAAGAAACAAACAGCACCCGGCCCAGACAAGGTCAGACCTGAACACCTGAAGAACCTGCCGTCAGTACTCATCAATACACTGGCTCGGCTCTTCACTCGCTACCTGTCTGATTGCAAGGTTCCTTCCCAATGGAAAACCAGCAGGACCGTACTACTGTTCAAGAAGGGAGACATTCATGACATTGGCAACTATCGCCCGATCTGCCTATTGTATGTCATCTACAAGTTGTTCACTCGAGTCATCCTAAATAGGATTGGCAGAACACTAGATGAAGGACAACCATGCGAGCAAGCCGGGTTCTGCAAAGGATTCAGCACCATTGACCATATCCACACGATAACCAAGCTCATTGAAGTTTCTCGGGAGTTCAAGATGCTGCTCTGCTTAACGTTCATTGATTTAAAGAAGGCCTTTGATTCTGTTGAGACGGAAGCGGTCATTGAAGCCCTAGCCAATCAGGGCATTCAAACCCAATACATCAGGATCCTCTGTGAGCTGTATTGCGGATTCACTACCAGGATCTCACCATTCTACAAAGAAGTGATCGTTGATGTCAAGAGAGGGGTGCGGCAGGGTGATACCATTTCACCAAAACTCTTCAGTGCCACCCTCAAGAACATCATGCGACGACTGGAATGGGAAGGAATGGGAGTAAAGATAGATGGTCGGCAACTACACCACCTCCGCTTTGCTGATGACATTGTTTTAATAACACCAAACATCAGCCAAGCGGCACAAATGCTGGCTGACTTTGACCGTGAGTGTGGAAAGGTAGGACTACAGCTGAATCTTACGAAGACAATGTTTATGAGAAACAGCCTCGTTCCCGACGCCCCATTCGCTCTCAACGGAACGACCATCTCCGAATGCAACAGCTATGTGTACCTAGGTCGAGAGGTCAACATGACAAATGACCTGGCACCCGAGCTGCACAGGAGGAAGAGAGCGGCTTGGAATGCCTTCAAGAACGTCGAAGAAATAGCTAAGAGGACGAAGAACCTCCAGCTTCGGGCACATCTCTTTGATTCCACTGTTCTTCCTGCATTAACATATGCCTCAGAGACCTGGGCCCTACGCAAACAAGATGAGAACGCTATTCAGGTCTCCCAAAGAAGAATAGAAAGAGCTATGCTTGGAATATCACGTTTCACTCAAATGAGAGAAAGAATCCGGAGTTCTGACATCCATCGATGATCAAGAATCAGGGACGCTGTCTCATTTGCCAAGGTGTCGAAAATCAGATGGGCTGGTCACGTAATGAGATTTAAAGACGACCGCTGGACTAGAGCTGTTACCAACTGGATTCCACGGGATGTCAAAAGACCGCGTGGCCGCCCACCTACCAGATGGTCAGACTTCTTCGTCAAGATCATGAACGGTCGGTTTGAGGCTCTTCATGTTCCCGGAGTGAACAGATGCCATTGGGCTACACTAGCACGTGACAGGGACGAATGGAGACGTTACTGGCGCCGGCTCGTGCAAATCGACGAGTAACGGGAAGTTAAGTGATAAGTGATTTTTTTATTGAATCACAGTGAGAACAGTCACAAAGCCTTTCAGTTCAAGTCTTGGTCGGTCATACAATGATCAAACACCTGTCCCTTCACCAGTGCTCATTTTCCACCACTAAGACCCCAGTATACACCCCCCCCCCCACCACCCCCGCCTATATGGCAGATTTCTACTTTACTTTCTCTCTCTCTATGATGATTGCATTCACTATTACGACAGAAGACCCAACATTTTTATTTGGAATTTTCCCCAACATTCAGACCTGCCACAAGGACATAATTTTATAATTTGATTTCTATTGATGATTATGAAGAACATATGATGTCATGTGGCCACAATAGCAGCCACGCGAATTTGGATTTCTGATATTTTAATAATAAACCTAGAGGGATTACTGCCAGAAGTCCCTGAGTTCCAAGATTGGTATGTGTGCCTCTGGGTTCATGGTTGGTCAGAAGCCAGAGGAGGCATTTGAAAGTGGTAACTCGGAGTATTGTCATGGCTGGGAGGAGGGCCGATTCCACCTCCCATCCCATGAAGCCCCACGTGCCTCGTTAATGCAGTCTCATACCTGGCTGTTCATTAGGCTCTAAAAGATGTAGGCCATAATGTCGCTGCCGCAAAGGGGAACAGGCAGAGGAACAGACACCCTTCCCCTCCCAGGGCGGCATAGCACCATAGTTAAATACACCGTCCACATATTTTTCGGTTGGGTATTATCTTTTGCTCAGATTTTCCCACCATCACTCAAGTCTGATTTTCAGGGACAAATGCGAGATCATTTACTTTCCATTGTTCACTTTGCATATCAAGAAATGTCGCGTGGCAGCATAAGTGGCCGCGTGGTTCAGAAAAAAGTCCTGGTACCTGCATGCCAGAGCTATGCTTGTAGAAGCTCATGGTCACCGGGATTCCATCTGGAGAAGGCGGGGAGACAGCACCAATCCCATCTGAGACCTCCCAGTGATATTGGCTCTGGTTGAGGCCTAGAGAATTCTCTGGGAGCTGTGGGACCCTTCACCCAGTTTTCTTCTTTGCTGCTGTGTGCTGTAAGATGGCGCTGGGGGCGGGTTGTGGGCATGACTTCTGGAATCAGAGGTTTCCTGGGAACCAGGGCGGCCCCATTGCAATTTGGAAAAAGTGTCCTGGTACCCCCATGCCAGAGCCATGCTTGTAGAAGCTTATGGTCACTGGGATTCCATATGGAGAAGTTGGGATGGCAGCAGCTACCCATCTGGGACCTCCCAGTGATATTGACTCTGTTTGGGGTCTGGAGCATTCTCCGGGAGCTGTGGGACCCTCCAGCCAGTTTTCTTCTTTGTTGCTGTGTGCTGTAAGATCCTCGCAAGCTACTTAGAGTATCTTGCCCGCACAGCAAAGCCTGGCAAGCTATCCGTAATGTATTCGATACGCCAAACACAGTAACAACAAGTCTCACAATGGAGACTTTACTGGGCTCACTCGAGAAAATCGATGAACAATGGGAGGACAGTGCAGTGCAGTGCAGTGCAGTGTATAAATATGACACAGAACATCTACAATAAAGCATAACAATTTTCACCATTTACTAAAGAGAATTATAATTCTGAGTGTATGGGATACTCTGGAAGTGTTTTGTTCTTCCTGATTCATGGATGTATCACCACAGCATAATATAATTTTATAATTTAGAATTTATTTGAATGGTTGATAATATTGGAATTGGGCAAGCAAGTCTTCGGTTCTCAAATGCAAGTGCCTACAGGTGATTTCACAGAAAGACTTCTTGGTAGCTATGTTCCTCTTCTCTTTCTTTTCTCACGACGTCCAACTTGATGAACAACCCTCAAGTCCAGCAGCAAATATTGCATCATCTCAGCGGGCCACACCCCCTGGGGACCCCCCACCCCACCCCTGGCAGAAGCACATGGGCTGCCTCCTCCAGGCGGACCAGCAGTTGGCCCAGCAGCTGTAGCCTCAGACACCGGAGTGGCTGGAGCAGCAAGGTAGTCAAATGCGGTGTCCAGTGCCAGATGCCAGCCAGGACGAGCATCAGGGGTGACCCTAGGGTCCAGCCTGCACCAGAGCATGCTGCCCTCGGGGCTGTCCCAGAGGAAAACAAAGACTCGGACCTGTGCTCACTGGGGCTCGTGATTCTTCTGTTTGCCCTTATCCTCAGCCCCCCCCCCCCATTTTTGTAGGCCCACTGGCCCCCGGGTCCCTTAGTGGGCACAGACCCGCACCCAACCTGCTCCTAAAGCTTTTCCTGCATTACAGGGAGCAACCCCCGGACAGCAGCACCTGGCAGGTTTCTCCCTACGCCCTCAAGCCCTGCCCGTCTGCAGGGACCGAGCAGCCGCCGTGGGCCAGGGCCACTGGAGGGACACGTTGCTGTCCAGTGTTCTTGCATCGCCTCGGGTCAGCCTAGATAGATGACTGTGGCCTTCGGGAGCCCCAGGAAGGGACCTGGTGCCACCTGCCACCTCCAGGCGAGCGGCGGGCCCCCATTGGGCACAGATCTGCATCCCACACCCTCCAGAGTGGTCAGGGCAGTGGGTTGGTAACTGGTCGTCCCCACTGGTCACGGAACCCCGTCACCACCAGTGCTTGAGGTATGCTTTGTGTAACTGTGGGAAATAAAGGTGTTACTTAAAAAAAAAGGTTCCTCTTTTCTTTTCTTTCCCATATCTTCTATTTGGTTTCCAAGTTCCGATTTTTATTACATTTTTTTCTTCTGAGTTTAAGGCCCATGACCTTCGCTCGGTTTGTCTTAGGGCGAAACCTCCCGCTGAGGGTTTTAGTTCTCATGTGATTTCTCTGAGACTGTGTGCTTAGGGGATCCTGTGCCCCGGCATAGCTGCTTTAAGTTGTTCTCATAGTGATGGGAAGGCTGGTGTGAAGTGAGCAGAGTGTCTCTCCTCAATATGATGACAGAGAGCAAATTTGGTGAAATGAGATTCAAAGACGAACCCAAGTCCTTGAGCGCCCTATCACAGGCTCCTGCAGGTAAGAAACATTTTCTGCAAAGTTCATGAGAAAAAGGATGGGGAAGGAAGAGTGTCAGCGAGGCATAGGTTTTATCAGGTGCTATTTTTTTCAGATTGGATGCAATTGGGAAATGTAGAACATGATTCTTTTATTTTGGGGTCTCCCTAACAATGCGCAGGGACCCTGAGAATCATTCCGAGTGATATTTTGTCAAGTCCAGTGCTAGGTCCTGAGGCCATCATGTTGCTGGCAGCTGTGTGTCAGATGCTCTCTGTTCAGGACCACATTCTGCAATGTCTAGAGAATGATGCAGGGTCTAGCAAATGCCCTTGTGCTTTTTCTCCCATGCCAAGAAGACAATAATTTTTTTTACTCTTTTTTTTATTATAAAATGTTTTAATAGTGAGACATCATGAGGTACAGTTGCAGACTTACACATTTTTGTACTTGGGTTTCAATTATACAATGATCAAACACCCATCCCTCCACCAGTGCCCATTTCCCACCACCACGGATCCCAGTATCCCTCCCACCCCCCATCCCCCCTATCCCACCCTGCCTCTGTGGCAGAGCATTCCCCTCTGTTCTCTCTCTCCTTTTGGGTGTTGTGGTTTGCAAAAGAAACATTGAGTGGCAATCATATTTGGTCTATAGTCTATTTTCAGCATGCTTCTCCCATCCTGGGAGGATCCTCCCAACACCTTTATTTGGTGTTCCCCTCTTTATCTGAGCTCCCTTTTCCCCTAGTAAGTGTGGTTGGCCTCCAAGTCATGGAGTAAAATTCCTGGTACTAATCTCGGCCATTCTTGGGTGTTAGTTTCCTATTTTGTTACTTTATGTTCCCCAGATGAATGCAATCTTTCTATGGAAGACAATAATTTTTAAGTGTGAATTATTAACCTAATAGGTGTGACCTTAGTTTAATGACATGATAAAGGTTAACTCTAAAAACTTAGCTGCTATGGCATCATTTAAGGATGGACAAAATTTTGTGGAAAATCTAGATAATTATTTGCCTGTAAAATGAAATACTTTGTAATACAAGAAAAGAGTGTTGAAAAACTGTCATAGAAAGATTTTTCTGGCAGTAGAAGGGCAGTAGAACTTTGGTGGGAAGTATGATCAGACTTACAAAATATACAATTGTGAAGATAACCCCCTGAAATTTCATAATTTTGTAAATCAATGAAAAATAAATATGCCTACCATGTGTTAAAAAGGTAGGTTCGTAAGTAATATGTAGTGATCCAATCATTTTGTAAATAAATCTGTAAAGTAAAAGTAAAAGTAAAGGCCCTCCCGTTGATCATCAATTTGCTCGAGCGGGCCCAGTAACGTCTCCATTGGAGACTTTGTTGTTACTGTGTCTGGCATATCGAATACGTCACGGGGAGCTTGCCAGGCTCTGCCGAGTGGGCGAGATACTCTTGGTAGCTTGCCGGGCTCTCCAAGAGGGGCGGAGGAATCGAACTCGGGTCGGCCATGTTGGCTGCGTGCAAGGCAAACGCCCTACATATTTGCATTTATTTAGATCATATATGTAAATTATTGTAGTTAAATATATGACAATTAAGTGACAGAAATATTTAATATTAACATATATTAAGATGGGGCTGGAGCAATAGCATAGCGGTAGGGCCGTTTGTCTTGCACGCAGCCAACATGGCCAACCCGAGTTCGATTCCTCTGCCCCTCTCGGAGAGCCCGGCAAGCTACTGAGAGTATCTCGCCCGCACGGCAGAGCCTGGCAAGCTACCCGTGACATACTCGATATGCCAAACACAGTAACAACAAAGTCTCCAATGGAGACGTTACTGGGCCCGCTTGAGCAAATCGATGAACAACGGGAGGACAGTGACAGTGACATATATTAAGATCAAAATATTTAAAATAGGAATCCTCAATTGTAGGAACTTATGCTCTTCCATGTTTTCCTAAATTTCTACAATGAATACTATTACTTCCTTCTCTTCTAAGCACAGCAGTAGGGAGTTTGCCTTGCACGCAGACAGCCCAGCCGAGCCGGGTTTGATTCCTCTGCCCCTCTTGGAGAGCCCAGCAAGCTACTGAGAGTATCTCACCTGAACAGCAAAGCCTGGCAACTACCCATGATGTATTCAATATGCCCAACACAGTACCAGCAAGTCTCACGATGGAGATGTTACTGGGCCCGCTTAAGCAAATTGATGATCAACAGGAGGACCATGACTGTGACCAATCACAAAAGAAGGAGAAAAGGAAATACTGGTCTAACTGTATTATCGATGAACTTAATTTGATTTCTCTTACAGCTCCCAGAGAGAAGACTAGGTTTCCAAAACTTAACACTGGTTGCCCCAAACTACTTCTTGCTGCATTGCTGATTCTTCTGCTGCTGAAAATCTCATTAGCAATTACCTTTACCAGTAAGTAGCTAATTGAATCTAGATGGGGTATCACCCTTACCTAAAGAGATAGCATCCTTTAGACACTGGCAATTAACAATGGATTTAACCAGAAAACTGAAAGAGAAGTCTTTTCTAGTTGAAATAAAAAAATGAGGCATCCATTGGAAACCTGGTTCTTTATTTGAATTTAGTTACTCTTCCATGAAATAATGAAACCAGTTCTACTTGGAGAAAGTAAAGAGTATTTGTACGTGCCCACATTTGTGTTGTAAAGTGAAACCCAGAGGTTATCATTGTCTACATTAGACTGTTGGGTCTTGAGTACAAATGTCTATTTCTTAATAATGTTGTTCAGGCCCTTTAAATAGAGATACATAGTTTGGGAAGACCAAACAGAAAAGGAAATAAAAAATATTTCAGACAAGATTTCCTATGGAATATTTAGCTTATTCCTTTTTATCCTACCCTATGTAGGTCTTCAAAAAGTCAGTTGCAAAGAGGTTGCTATCCACATCCTGCTATCTGCAATGTGCACAACCTTGGCTTTAAGTAAAAAAATTTGGGCCATACCCAGAAGTGTTCTGGATCTATTCCTCACTCTGTTCTCAGGGATCACTCCTGGTGTGGCTTAGGGAGCCATCTATCTACTGTACTATGTCTTCAGCCATTAGCTTTAAGTATTTATAATATTTAATAATGCACATGTTTGGATGTATATTTTATTAATTTATTTGGTCATTCAATATGCAATGATGACTGCCAACTTTTATTTTTTCAGCACTGGGAACAATCAGAAAATAAAAAAAAACCCACAGGTAAATTTTCCCACAATAACAAGAAGTTCAGTGAAGAGTAGAAAATTGTAAAATTATTGTTTTCAACATTAAATAAGTGTGTGTGTGTAAGAGAGAGAGAAACACAGAGACAGATAGATTTTCTGAAGGAAGGGTTTTCTAGAGCCATATGTATTAAAATTGCAGAGAGGAAAGATAGCATAGGAAAATATGGACAGCTTAATTGTACATAACTGGAACATATAATGATAAGTGAACTGTGAGAAATAAAGTTGTAGATACAAAGAATAAATGGTCCTCAGAGCATGAAGAGTGCTGTGTACAGTACTAATAGTCTGGAATTTTGTTTGATTGTTTTGGGGGGTATTACTTCATGGTGCTCATGGCTATTAATTCAGAACTTGGGGTTGTCCCAAGAGATGCTGAGGATAGAGTCAAGAGCACCTGTATGGGAAACATGCAGTCATCACTTGGAGCTCTTTCTCCAGCCTCAATTTTATTTTCTCCCTCTGAAGTGGGAAGAGATGTGAATTTTTAAAAATGATCCTCTTTTTAAATGTATAAAGCAGTCTACACTTAGTGGTTAAAATAGCAAGCATCTGTTTCTGTGATTTGGCAGGTTTTTTTTTTTTTTGCATTTTGTGTCACAACTGAAGATGCACAGGGGTTACTCCTGGCTCTGCACTCAGAAGTTACTCCTGGCAATGGTCAGGGGACGATATGGGATGCTGGAAATCGAACCCAGGTTGGCCGCGTGCAAAGCAAACGCCCTACCCATTATGCTATCTCTCCAGCTCTTGCTTTGGCAGTTTGAACCAATCAACTGGGAGATTCTTTAGATTTAATTGAAATCTGGAGCGATAGCATAGCGGGTAGGGCGTTTGCCTTGTAAGCAGCTAACATGGCCGACCCAGGTTCAATTCCTCAGTCACGCTCGGAGAGCCTGGCAAGCTACCGACAGTATCTCACCCATGCGGCAAAGGCTGGCAAGCTACCCGTGATGTATTCAATATGCCAAACACAGTAACAACAAGTCTCACAATGGAGATGTTACTGGGCCTGCTGGAGCAAATCGATGAACAACGGGAGGACAGTAACAGTGACAGTGACATTCCCACATAAACAGTCAGGTAGCAGTTGGGGACAAGTTTGTGTTTGAAGAAGAACATGTTAGTTGGAAATTTGTTCACATTTATTTCATAATTCCCCAGACTAGCCTGAGTTTATCACACAGGTGATTTTTAGGTTTCTGAAAGTGGATGTCAGAGAAATTTCTTGAAACCACAGTACAGAACTGATAAGAATGCTCTCTATATTCTGATGGCTAAGGAAGCTTTAAAATCATCCCAGTTTTCTGGTCCTCTCCTGCTCCCCAATGGTGGGGTGTGAGGGACTGCACCCCAGGTCCTCACACATGCCACACAAACATACTACCATTCATAACAAACTCCCTCACACAAACTAAAGGAAGTCTAAGAGTTGTCTCAAGTTGAAGTGATACAGAATTAGATTCACTTGTTGAAGAGTAATATTGAAAATGAGTGTGGCTACAGGAGAGGGGGAAACTTTTGGACATTCTTGAATATATCACAGTTATTGAGAGTCACTGTAGAATTTAAAAACTGGAGTTGATCTGGTGATCAAATTTGACATATAGAAGAAATGCGCATTTGATGGTGTTAATTGAACATTGCAAAACAAAGTTGAAGACAGAAAATAGAATACCAATTCTTTATCCATTTGCAAAACAGTGAAAACTTGCCCTATTTGATTTTTAAAAGATGCAAGAAGACTCTTGAGATTAAGTAGCATCAGAAAGGGGGTAGTTGGAGGGGGGTGATGGGAGGGTACCTGGGGACACTGGTGCTGGGAAATGTACACTGATGGAGGTGTGGGTGTTGGAACACTGTGTGGCTGAAATCTAATCAATGAACAGCTTTGGAAGGGTCTATCTCACATTGATTCAATAAAAATGTTTAAATAAAGGAGTATCATAAAGAAAGGTGAGGCAGAATCAGGAAAGAGTGGGATCACACTAATGAAATGAAGAGAGCCTGGTTCAAGAATTGCAAGAGGTCAAGAATTGCAAGAGGTCAAGAAGAGAACCTTTTTTAAAAAAATAATTTGAATCACTGTGAGATAGTTACAAAGCTTTCATGTTTGAGTTTCATTCATGCAATGATCGAACACCCATCCCTCCACCAGTGCACACTTTACACCACCAATGTCCCCAGTATACCTCCACCATCCCAATCCTCCCCCTGCTTCCATGGCAGACATTTCCCCCCATATTCCCTCTCTCTACTTTTGGGCAATACGGTTTACAATATAGATACTGAAAGGCTATCTTGTTTGGTCTTTTATCTACTTACAGCACACATCTCCCATTCCAATTCCTCCAACTGTCATTGACTTAGTGATCCCAAGAAGAGAAGCTTTAGAAGTGTCCCAAGCATGTGGTTGGAGCATTACAAGAGTGGAGTGTGAAGTGGAAGGCGGCATTGTTGGTCAGGGACAGAGAGTGAGGTGAGGAAGAAAAAGACAAATTTTGTCATTTACAGGGGGAGCGAGGTCTACCTCAAAATTGAGAGAGGTTGAGTGTACTGGTGTTTAGCGGAGTGACAGTTGGGATAGATGGAAGGGAAAGGATTAAGAAACAAAGTCCTTTAGATATGAGATTAGATATGAGAAATTGTCTACAGGTAACCTAGATCTCAGAATTGATGGTTTTCTTCCCCAAAGACATGATTTTACATCCTCAGATAGAAATGGTTAACCATTTATCAGCTCTTTACCCTTCTCCAAGGTTTAGCATTTGCATGTTTTTCACCAGTTACTGTTGAACGTGAGGATGGATAATAGCCCTTAGGTCATTATACAAGAATTATCATAGCATCTTTTCTCCCATTCTGAAAAATGTCTGCAGTCTCAACATCTGTAGGATTAGAAAGTGTTGAATGCTTGGCAATGAGATATTTTTTCAGTTAGCATCTTTCTACTTTTTTTAAAAAAAATTTTATTAGTGGGTTTCATTCAAGAAAGTAACAGTTAAGGGAAAAGCCTTAGCAGTAGGAGAAAAATGAATGGTATCATTTTTTTTCTAGCTTTCTTTCTAAACTGTTTTAAACTTGTTCAAGAAGAAACGTTTACCCAAGAAGTGACTCAGACTTTGTTGGAATGTAGGAAAGAAAACTTGGTCATGGAAGGTAAGAACGAAAAGGCTAATAAGAACTAATAACTAATAACTAATAAGAACTAATAGGTAAGAACTAATATATTCACATGAGTTGCTGAATATAAGGATGAAGATAAAAAATCAGTAGTTCCAGTAGGTTCATGGGTCAAGCATACTTCAATGATGTTTCAAAAACAGTTTTAAGTGTACATATATATGTCATACATTATTTCGTGAGTGTATCTTTGATTAATCTGTGAAAATGCGATTGCATAGCTTTTGGGTTTCTTCTCTTTTTTTTTGTCACACCTGAAGGTGCTCAGGGCTCAACATTGGTTCTTCATTTTGGGATCACTCTTGGTGACTCTGAGTACATTATGGGGTGTCGGGGTGAAATCCAGGTCAGCCATATGGAAGACAAGTGCCCTGCCCCCTACTACCACTCCATTGGATTTCTTCAGTCTTCATTTCTTATGTTCTCTCTTATTCCCCTCACACGTCCGTTAAAACTGACTTCCTCAAGAGAGATCTCACACAGTTGTGTTTTAAGAAAGCAGAAATCTTTCATGCATATAAATGGTTTCCTAGAGAATACACAGTTGGGTAGGGTTGAAGCTGTGATATTCTGTTGTGTTTCAGTTTCCTCCACTTTTGAAGGTTCCAGAATGGCAACACAATGTCACTGTGGGTTGCAATGACACAACAAACTGAGCACCTTAAACAATTGATATTTATTTTCTTCTAAACCCTGAAGAGGCTGAAGGGCTGAGGTCAGGTACCAGCAGGATTGGTTTCTGTTGAGGAAGGTGTCTCTGGCTCATGGGTTGCTGTTTTCCTGCTGCGACCTCAAATGACTTCTCATCTTTTACATAGGTCAGGGAGAGAGGAGAAGGACAGAAGGAGAGAGGGAAAGGAGGTGAGAGAAAAAAATGAAGAGAAAGAGAGCATAGAAAGAGAGGAAGAAGGAGATATGGAGAAGAGGGAGAGAGGGCAGGAGAGAGAGGGAGAAACATTTCCAGTACATCTTCTTCTTTTTGAAAGGTCAAGAGTTTGACTGGGTTAAAAGGTCCTACTCTTCTGACCTACCTTAAACTAACTTAAACAAACCAGAGTGTTTTATTTTCTAAAAGACTCTGCCTCTAAATCTAATCTCATTGAGGTTCACAGTTTCAGCTCATGTGTTTTAGGTGAACACAATTTAAATCATGCCCATTTTTGAGAATTCAGTGGTTCTTGTTATAAAGAGAAAATTTTCCATTGAAAAATGGGACATTTTTGCATTTTCTTCTATGATTCTGAAACTTTTTTTAATGGTCCTCCCACATATACATCGAGTGGTTTTCAGGGTTACTCCTGGCACTACACTTTGGGATCGCTCCAAGTGAGGCCCAGGGGAACACTTGTGGTACTAGATACTGAATTTGGATCTGCCATGTACAGGCAAACGCACTACCCATGGACTCTTTCTCCAGCTCCCAAGTCCGCGCATTGAAAAATACTTTGATTCTAGCTACCTTTACTGACTACACACAAGCAAGGAAATGTGAAAATGCCTGTTACTGCCTGATGATGGTGGGTTCAACCTACATGATGCCTGATGGGGATGGATCCTTCTAACTGTTGAGTGAACATGGCCTCTGTGATTCCACAGGATCTCTTTTGCTCTTTAATTTTTCACAACACACAGCCCAGCAAGCTACCGAGAGTATTCGATATGCCAGACACAGTAACAACAAAAGTCTCCAATGGAGACGTTACTGGGCCCGCTCGAGCAAATCGACGATCAACGGGAGGGCCTTTACCTTTACCATACTTAAAATTACTTGTCTCTGGTCAAAGTTTTACGGCACTAGTCTTGTATGTGGTTAAGAATGGTTTTATTTCTGACATAAAATCTGCCCCCCCAAGGACCATCAAGGCTTGTTCCTGAGCATAGAGCCAGGAGTAACCCCTGAACATTGCTGGGGGTGATCCCCAAACAATAAAAACATCACTTGTCTTATATGTACTAATATGGCCAAGTATCAACACAGGCAAATCCTGGAGCTGCTGCCCGAAGAATTGGAAGTCATTTGGTTCAAATTGCTACTTTTTTTCTTCTGAGAAAAAAAATTGGACTGACAGCGAGAAGCACTGTGCAGGGATGCAGGCGCATCTGCTGGTGGTTGACAGCAAGGAGGAGCAGGTACTTTTGGATCACCATTGGAGTCACGATCCTGCCGGCTTTGTCCCCAGCTCCTGCTTGGAAGGAAGTTCTCATGGTCAGGGGTGTTGCTGCTGAGACATAAGACTTTGGATAAAATAGATGGGATCAGATAGCAAGTCTTTGCGTTCTACACCGTCTTTTGATTCCAACTAAATCTTCCCCTTGCACTCCCCCATAATATTGTGGAAAATTGAGAGTATTATGTGGAGGCTTGAGTGAAAGATGGGTATATTTGAACCTGAAATATCAGTTCATTATTACTGTTTCAATGGGGGCTATTTCTGAGGTTGCTCCTAGCAGAGAGGTTAATCTACTGGCAGCTGATATGCTTTTGGTGTGTCAGCCTTGAGAATGACCTCTAGCATTTTGTAGCCAAAATGCTACTGGCGGATTAGGGTGGCCTGACCCTTATGGTCTCTAAGCACTAATAAAATGACAACAACTGCCACAACAATAAGCAGAAAGAAGAAATGAACAATACATGATCAATTGAAAAAAGCCCTAAAGTGAAACAGGAAAGGAATAAACAGCGATGAAGTGAAATAACTTAAGAAGTTATCAAAGGAAAGAGAAATCATGTTAATAATTTCTCTCCGGAGCTTTGCAGGCTCCCTTCTCCTACTGATGAAGTGGGGGTGAGTGTGAGATGATGATTCACTGTGATCATGGACAGAAATCTCTGCCCTGTGTGTTGGGTACTAAAGTTCTCTAATTGATTCTGCTCTGAATTCCTGATTAAAATCCCAATGCTGGGCTGGAGTGATAGCACAGTGGGGAGGGCGTTTACTTTGCACGCGACTGATCCGGGTTTGATTCCTAGCATCCCATATAGCCACCCCCCCCCCCCCGAGCACCATGAGGAGTAATTCCTGAGTGCAAGAACTAGGAGTAACCCCTGCCGGGTGTGACCCCAAAAGAAAAAAATCCTAATCGCCAAAGGGATATAGGAAATTGTGTCAGTGGAGCATCCTCAGGTATGAGACAGAACCCTTCATGAATTAGTGTTCTTAGAAAAAAGACCCCTCATACTTATTTCCCTTCTCTCCATGTAACTTCACTATGAGAGGTATCAATTTTGAAGAGGAAAGGGGGTCTTTTCCTGATCATACTGTTCTTCTGATCTGGGGACATCAGTCTACATAACTATTTCAGTTGTTTATAAGCTGCCCTATCTGTGAGAGGCCTGAACACCTAAGACAAACACCATCTTCCCAAGAGATGCCTTTGATCCTGTATTGTTCAGTCACAGAAGACCTAGACCTCTGGGGCAGACCCTGGATGTCTTTCCTTGGACCTTTTCATTTTGGTGTTCTCTTTTTCCTATGGCGATAAAGGATGTAAAATCTAGGTGACTGCTATAAGCTCTAACTCCTATTCTTTCCTAGGACTTTATTAAGAATAATTCGAAAGAGAATCAAACTTATTATTTGGGGCTGTCAGATCTGAAGAATGGTCACTGGGAATGGGTTAATGAGACACCATACAATCCAAGTGTCACGTGAGTATTGAATTTGGTAAGAGGATCCTGAGTCCTGCAGACTGTAGGGACGTCAGGGTGCTCCAACTAGCACCTTTTCAAACAATATTGCTCAAGCATAACTTCTGAACTTCTGAACATTAGTTTGCATGTTCAAATTTGCATCTTGCTACTAATCACCTCAAGAAGTCTATAGAGCGTCATTTTCTCTTTCTCTTTGTAGGAAGGAGGACAGTGAATTTAAGAGTTTAGATAACACAGGAAACTTTTTTCTGTAGTGGTCAGATGATCTTTCAGCCCAGGTTTATTAGATATGAAAGCCTGTGCTTGTGAAATTTTTATATTAAGTATAATAAAATTCATGTCAAGAAAAATCATAGCCATCCTTAAAATAGCACAGCGGGTAGGGCGTTTGCCTTGGATGCAGCAGGCCCAGATTCAATTCCTCTGCCCCTCTCGGAGGGCCCAGCAAGCTATCGAGAGTATCCTGCCTACACAGCAGAGCCTGGCAAGCTCCCCGTGGCATATTTGCTATGCCAAAAACAGTAAGAACAAGTCTCAGAATGGAGACATTACTGTTGCCCACTCGATCAAATCCTTAAAATTTAATCCTTACCAAAAAACAATAAGCTAAGTTCTGATAGTCCTAAATTATGTTATATTTAAATAGGCTAAAAAACCCTTACGGGCCAGTGCAATAGTGTAGCAGGTAGGTGTTTGCTTTGTACGTGGTACCCCCAGATTCAGTAGCTGGTGGCCCTTATGGTACAAGAGCACTTACAGGAGTAATTCCTGAGTTCAGAGCTAGAAATTACCTCTGAGCAATACTAGATGTGACCCAAAAAGCCAACTTCTCCCTCCCAAAATCCCCAACCTTACTTTTAAATCCTTTAGTACAATTTAGTATGTTAATACCTTAGAGATTCATGTGAACTAGGTGAAAAATTTAGGGATAGAATCTAGTATGATTTTTTTAGATTACGAACAGAATAAGATATAATGATCTCTGATAATAATAGAATCAGATATTTATTTTTAAGAGGTGTAATTTATTTAAAAATTATTTCCCCCTTAGCGATAGCACAGCAGTAGGGCATTCGCCTTACAAGCGGCCAACATGGCCGATCCGAGTTCGATTCCTCCGCCCCTCTCAGAGAGCCCGGCAAGCTACCAAGAGTATTCGATATGCCAAACACAGTAACAACAAAGTCTCCAATGGAGACGTTACTGGGCCCGCTCGAGCAAATCGAGCAAACTTTATAATAAACACTGCAGTTTGCAAAGTTGTTCATGATGATTTTACAAAGGCACTCAATATTTCAACACCAATCCCACCACCATTATACCTACCCTCCACCATGGTCTCCATTTTTTCCCAACCACCCCTTCTAGTGAAGATTGTTGTATCCCACCATGAAGCCATTGAACTGTTTTATAGGAGATTACTAAGATGTTGTTACAGGTTAAGTCTTCTTTTCCTATTTTATTAAGCGAGATTGGTTCCTTCTACATTACATCCCGTCCAATCTCATATGCTACTCTTGGTTTATCAGTTTTATAGAGTTTGAGATGTTGTGCAGCTGCAAATGCTCCAGGAAGTCCAAAACTTTTCAAGGGGTGATGCAGCTGGAATTAAATTTTTAACTGGGTCACAGTTTTGGGGCGTGTGTGTGTGTGTGTGTGTGTGTGTCTGTGTGTGTGTGGCTGCCAGGGCTTTCGGAAGTACAGAGAGAGTTTGGAAGGTAGCCCATCCCCAATTCCATGAAAACCTGGAGGTTTTGGTCACAAAATCTGCATACCTCAATGGATTAATTTCTGGGTGATGTTTGTCCCGAGCAGTGTAGTTCGGCTTGGTGCATGGCAACAGTTGTGGAGTGTGGGAGCTTTCAGTTGCTGGAGTTCTACTTTCCAGGCTCTAAGCTCACCCGGCCTTCTCTGGAGTGCCTTTGATGATTCAGCCTTGCATGAGACATAGAAACACAAATCAAACATATTTTATTTATTTATTTATTTATTTATTTTTGTGGTCACTCCTGGCTCTGCACTCAGGAATTACTCCTGGTGGTGTTTGGGGGGCATATGGGATGCTGGGAGTTGAACCCAGATCAGCTGTGTGCAAGGCAAATGCCCTACCCACTGTGGTATCACTCTAGCCTGAATTGAAGATATTTTAAACAAGTCTCATACTCCAAAAGTAGTACATAAAAAATCCCACACTATCGATATGACCAGGATAAAATTTTTGATCACTAAGGGGAGCCCATGGAATCAGGGCACAAGCATGGACTGAGAGAGGCAGGTTTACAAGGGAGGGTGTCTGACACAAGGGAATAGGGCAGCTCTGGGGGATGGCAGCCCCATTTTCAGGGGAAAGGCCAGTAACAGATGAATGCCATTTGTGAGGAGTGGGGAAGAGATTTGTGTGTCTCTGATCTGACCTCCATAACGCTCTATGGCAGCCCTTGCTTCACTGTCTCTTTTCAAAGACAATTTGAGAAACATACTTACCCTGTTCTCCTTTTTCAGGTTCTGGCACCCAGGAGAACCCAATAAGGACTATGAACATTGTGTTGTATTAACTTTTCGTTCTGAATGGGGTTGGGGTTGGTTTGATATCCCTTGTAATTTGCATCAAGAATCAATTTGTGAGATGTTGAAGATCTACATATGAATGGAGCATTCTCCGTGAACAGTGGTAGAGTTGTCCTTGTTGATTACAGAAAGAGTTCATTTGCTTTCATGCATCTCATAAGTAAGGAACAAGGAAGCTTTCAGAAGTCTAACACTTATGATGACTCAGTATATCTCTTATTTTTTTCTTTTTGGGTCACTCCCAGCAATGCACTGGATACTCCTGGATCTGCACTCAGGAATTATTCCTGGTGGTGCTTGGGGGACCATATGGGATGCCCGGGATCGAACCTGGGTCAGCCACGTGCAAGGGAAACGCCCTACCCGCTGTACTATTGTACAGCGGGTAGGGCCCCTTAGTGCATCTCTTCTTTCATTTATTAATTCATAAATACAACATTTGTTAAGCATTTTCCAATGAAGATACCATGTCAGAGAACCTTTATGTTGGCAACGAGCGGGAATTTGAGTCTCCTCTAATTTTTGTCTAATTGCTCAGGGGTTAGCTGTGATTACATTATCTGGTTCCCTGTTTCAAATTCTCTCTTTATTGATTGATCAGCAACAAAATAATCCCAAGTGTTAATTTTGATAGCACAGCGGTAGGGTGTTTGCCTTGCACGCAGCCAACATGTCCCACCCGAGTTCGATTCCTTTGCACCTCTTGGAGAGCCCGGCAAGTTACCGAGAGTATCTCGCCCACAGGCCAGAGCCTGGCAAGCTTCCCGTGACGTATTCGATATGCCAAACACAGTAACAACAAAGTCTCCAATGGAGACGTTGCTGGGCCCGCTCGAGGAAATCGATGATCAACGGGAGGGCCATTACTTTACTTTACTTTACTTTACGAGCTAGATAGGAGTTTCTGAATTAAAATCACATTATGAAACATTTGAAAAATAATACATGTCAATGAAAGGAAAGCTTCAGCTTTGACCCAGTACACTCTGTCTGTAAACAATTCTTGGGTGATGAACAGGCTAGTATTCCTCAGAAATTTTGATATTATTTTAGTTTTATCATAGTGTATGCTTTTTTAAAATATCAGTTATGAAGAGTGCTATTAAAAATAAATAATCCTTTCTGGTGTGGAGTAGGCTTTTGGGATGACTTAACTTCAGCCATGAGGGTCCTACAGCAGGGAGTAAAAGCTAACAAAGACTTCAAACTCAAATCATTTCTTCTTGCTTAGGTGTCTCACTAATTGACACTTTGGTATCAGTGTCATACTTGTTCTGCGTGGAATTATGATCAAATTGTATATTTACATATTCTTTTTAGTTAAGTTCTTACAATATGCTACAATATAAAATAGGATATTTGATAGACTGGGGGCCCCTGTCTGTTGCAGACATAGGTAGAGAGACATTAGAAGTGAAAGAATATAAGTTTATTGGGGTGCGTTCCTGGATGAATTCTACATGGTTCCTGGAGTGGCCGAGTTAGAGCTTTGACCTGGAGAGACTAGTCAGGCTTTAAAGTGTCTTGGGAGGGAAAAGGCGCAAACACAGTGGAATGTGTCGGACCTGGCCTTCTGTTATCTGTAGGGGGTCTTGATGTGAGGAAGCATGGATTGCAGCCTTGTAGATTTCTAGGTGGTTTAGAAGATTTCTAGGTGGTCCTCTGGCTGGAGGGAGGGTGATCTTTTATTTTAGGAGTGTTACTATCTCATAGCCAGTCACCAGTTGGTGCCAGCAAACCTTACAATATTTAGAGTAAAACCTATAGTGTATTGCCCATTATGATCGTTGTAATTGATCATGATGAATCTCATTCTCACTGCGGTAATCCTGGGGATTCTTTAGCTCGGTGCTTGATGCAACCAAGTAATTGCGCTTGTCACCCTGTGTTTGAATTCATCTGAAGACTAGCAACTTTTATATATATATCTAAATATGTCCATGGTTTGAAGGATTTTCCAGTTTACTTTCAAGAAAGTATTGGAGTGATAGCACAGCTGGTAGGGCGTTTGCCTTGCGCATGGCCGACCCGGGTTCGATTCCTTCGTCCCTCTCAGAGAGACCGGCAAGCTACCTAGAGTATCCTGCCCACATGGCAGAGCCTGGCAAGCTCCCCATGTCATATTCGATATGCCAAAAATAGTAACGATAACAGGTCTCATATCCCCTGATCCTGAAGTTCTTCCAATCATTGGAAAAGATGAGTAAGGAGAGGCTGCTAAAATCTCAGGGCTAGGAGGAATAGAGAAGTTATTGGTACTTGCTCGAGTAAATCAACGGACAACGGGATGACAGTGATGTCAGTGATACAGTGATTTGGGAGTATCATGCTGCCAATAGGTCAACCTATACCTGTGGGGCAAGTGCATCAGCAGTTTGATGGTGCCTTCAGGCTTCCTGACACCCCCAAATTGCCACTGTGCCTTTTCCGGACCCCAGCAACTTGGGACCAAGGTTACCAAGAAATTGAAGGTAAAGGTAAGGTAAAGGCCCTCCCCTTGATCGTCGATTTGCTCGAGCGGACCCAGTAACGTCTCCATTGGAGACTTTGTTGTTACTGTGTCTGGCATATCGAATACTCTCGGTAGCTTGCCGGGCTCTCCGAGAGGGGCGGAGGAATCGAACTCGGGTCGGCCATGTTGGCCGCTTGTAAGGTGAACGCCCTACCACTGTGCTATTGCTCCAGCCCACCAAGAAATTAAACAGCTAAAAGTTAGGAATGTGCAAGCCACACTCACAAATAACCTCCGGCTAAGCTATACGAGCTCATTTATTTGCCTTGTTACAGAGACCCATAGATAATCTCGAAGAGATCAGAACCCACAGTTAACCTTGGACCCATGCATGGCTGAACAGACTGGGGTAAATTGGAGGGGGTTGTTGGCCTGGTGGCTCACCCAAGCAGACCCCCCAGTAGCCACTACTTCCAAATACAAAATTGCTGCCATCCCCCAGCCTGACTCCACCGTCTCAGGATGGATCTCACCAAGATATAATCTGCTGAAAATTCGGGTATGAGGGTTTTGTGACTGAAATCTTCAGGCTTTCACAGAGTTGGAGTCTGCTACCACCCCCCCCATTTCTCAATACACATGGAAGCACTGGCAGCCACCCTTGCGAACCAACTCCAGCGCCACCCTGTAAACTCTATTACTAGTCTTGCTTCAGAGATTCATAAATAAATCTCAAAAGAGATCAAAAGCCAGAGACACAGCACGAGTTCTGGAAGACACCACAGATTCGGACATCTCTCCGGGCTCCATATCGAACCAATTTCACCAGAGCACCCCAGATGAAGCAGGTGCTGTCTCCCCACCTACTCCAAGTGGAGTCCCAGCGACCAAGAGCTTCCACAAGCAAGGCCCAAGTATGTGGGTTCCAGGACTAAATCTCCATGCCGCATGGTGGCAGAGGCTCCAGGGTGTCCCTATCTGGCATCCTGCCCAGTCGCCAGCCTGGCTGTCAGCCCACAATGTGCCTCCTGGTACCACCTTGGCACACCAACAGCCCTGGTCCAAAGATGCCTAATTGAATCTCAAAATGGATTAGTGCCCTACAGAAATGTCTCCAAAAACCAACCATTTACAATTTATAGAATTCCAGAAGCGTGTGGCCGCAGCACCCAAGATTTTCAAAATGAGGAGTGGACAATAAATGATCTAGCATCTGCCCCTGGCAGGAAGACTTAAATGGTGGTAGGAAAAATTCGAGCAAAACATAAAATGCCCAAAAGTAGAGAGAGTGTATTGGGGAAATTGCCTGCCATGGAGGCAGGGTGAGGATTGTGATGGGAGGTGGGGATATACTGGGGGCACTGGTGGTGAAAAGTTTCCACTGGTGAAGGGAGGGGTGTTCGACCATTTAACGACTAAATATCAAACATGCAAGCTTGGAACTGTGTCTCATGGTGGTTAAAAAAAGAAAAGTAATGTGGAGTTCATGCCCCATTCAATCAGCTTAATCAATGGCTGAATAAACAGCAGAACTCCTACATTAAAAAAATTAAAAAAAAATAAAAAGTAAAGTTTTGCTTAGCAGGGCCAGATAAACAATAGAATGCTTAAGATAACTTGCCTTACATGCAATTATGCTAATTTTATAACATATCAATTTTATTGATGTACTAAGATTTACAACACTCTATATGCTATTCAGGCATACATTATTTAAATATGCCTCCCATCACAAAATACCAGCTTCTCTCCATCAGTATTCCTTGAACCCTTCTCAGTCTCCTTTCTCCCCATGGGGCAGTTTTATGGACATAATCTTCAGTTCTGATGACTTTGGTCTTTGATTGTTCCCTTACTGTTTCTTTCTATCCCACATATGAGAAACCTTTCAAAATATTTATTGTTTTTGCTTTTGTTTTGCATCACAACTGGATATGCTAAGGGGTTACTCCTGGGTCTGCACTCAGCAGTTACTCCTGGTGGTGTTTGGAAACCGCATGGGATGCTGGGATGGAACCTGGTCAGCTGCATGCAAGGCAAGTGTCTGACCAGCTGTACTATCCCCCTGCAATCAAAGGCAAGTTTCTTCTGATCACAGAAGGGACTGAGAAGCAAGAAAAGGGAGAAAACTTGAATGAAATCTTTGTGTTAGATCGGAGTGCAAGGTATCCTTGTTGAGGCATTGTTGAATTTTCAATATATTAAAAAATGAAATGACGTGTGTGTGTGTTTGTGTATGTGTGTGTGTGTTTGATGCAAAGAAAGAGGGAAATAAGTGAGAGAATGGAATAATAAACCTTTGAGAAGAGTTAAATCTAGGGTGTATACTCTAGAAAGATTCCGCATGGAGAATTTAATTGCTGGTGTTTCTTTCTGAACCAGGAGAAAAACATTCCGATATAGCTTTTAGTTGATCTCCATCTCCATTCTGAGTTTTTTTCTTTTATCAGTGGCTACTCCCAGCTGTGTTTGGGGGTTGCTGTTGTCTGTGCTGGGGCACCCAGTGGTGCTAGATATAAAATCTGGGTGTCCTGTTTGCAAAGCATGCCTTTAGCACATGGACTATCTCTCCAATCCTCCTTCTCCATTCTGATGGCATTACATTTTTCTAAACAAAAGTAACATATGCATCTGCATAATTTTCTGTTGTGGAGTGGTGTTGGAGGCTGGAGGTGAGAGAAGGGAAATTTGGAGTTGTCTCTTCCTCTAATTTCTGATAGAGACGCCAACTTTGGGAGATGGTGGACATGTCTAGGGCTAGCATTAGAGTTAGGCTTAGGCTTACTATAGACTTAAGAAGTGGGAGATTTATGATAAAGTTAATGAACAGCTCTAGGAGAAAGGGGCCCCAGGAGCAGTGTCAAGAATCATCTGATCTCAAATCTGCCTTCTGGGTACTTGAAGGGATGTTGTCTCTTAGAAGCAGGAAAGAAGGTTGTCTGTAGCTGTTTCTTGTTGGTCTTCTTTTTCCTGATGAGTCACACATGGTGAGTGGCATGCAACAAAAATAAGCATGTGACCAAGGTTGGTCTTCCATCACGTTTGGGTGCACAGGCCCACAGATGCTTGTGTAGGGTAACATTGGTTTGTCCTTTCTGCCTTGCCACAGGGAGTTTAGGTTATTGGGTTACTCCCATCACAGTGTTCCCATTCCTCTGTGTTTACTTGTAACCTCTTTCTTTGTGCTCTGCTTCTCCAGCTGGCCAATTACCTTTACCTCCTAATTAGACTCTCTTTGTAGCTTTCTTATTTCTGTTCTCATTTCTTCCTGTACTTGTTGGCTGTTTATTCCACTGTTTCTTTCATGTCATCCTTATATTACTGGATGCCTGTTCCACTGTTTCTTTGACCTTGTTGAACATCCTTAACATTTCATCCCTGAGTTCTTTGTCAGAGAGTTTATATTTTTGTGAATTCCCTGTTGAGGCTTCAGGGCTCCTTTCTTCTCTACTCCTTGTGGAGGGGATCTGTGCTGTTTCTTCATGTTGCTGTGGTAGTATGGAGGTGTGTACCTCCCATTTACTATCAGTGACCCCCTTTCCTTGGGGAAGATTCTAGATGGGCTTGGTTGATGGTGGCCTCCTTTCCCCCGTTAATAATACTACCTCTTTGGTGGTCCTCTGTGCCTCATGTGGGCCCACTAGTGCAGCTTCAGTGGAAGTGTTCTTTTTTTTTTTTTATTAGTGAAACACCATGAGGTACCGTTGTAGATTTACAAATTTTTGTGCTTGGGTTTCGGTTATACCACGATCAAATACCCATTCCTCCACCAGTGCTCATTTTCCACCACCATGGATAATATCCCTCCCCCCAATCACCCCCATCCCACCCTGCCTCTGTGGCAGGGCAATCCCCTGTGATCTCTCTCTCCTTTTGGGTGTTGTGGTCTGCAAAAGAGGCATTGAGTGGCAAACATGTTCAGTCCATAGTCTACTTTCAACATGCTTCTCCCCTTCTGGGAGGATCCTCCAAACACCCTCCATTTGGTGCTCCCTTCTCTATCTGAACTGCCCTTTCCCCTAGAATACCCGGCTGGCCTCTAAGCTATGGAGTAATCCTCCTGGTGTTGATCTCAGCTCTTCTTGGGTATTAATCTCATATTTTGTTATTTTATATCCCCCAGATGAATGTAATCTTTCTATGTCTATCCCTCTCTTTCTGACTCATTTTGCTTAGCATGATACTTTCCATATTGTACCACTTGTATGTAAATTTCATCACTTCATCTTTTCTAACAGCTATATAGTACTCCACTGTGTAGATGTACCAAAGTTTCTTTAACCAGTCATCTGTTCTTGGGCACTCAGGTTTCTTCCAGTTTCTGGCTATTGTAAAGAGTGCTGCAATGAACAAACAGTGCAGATGTCACTTCGACTATACATTTTTGCCTCTCTGGGATATATTCCCAGGAGTGGTGGAAGTGTTCTTTTGAGGCTTGTGTTCGCTGTTATTTTGGTGGTTTGGGGGATAATTTTTTTTTTATTGGAATAGGCTAGAGGACTATTGGGCTAATGTGTTTGGGATAGCCAGGATGTCTTCTTCAGAATTAGGTAATGGAGGCTGAGCTATGAGTCCAAAGTACTAGGAAAGGAAAAATAACTGTGGCTGCTTCAGTCCCTGCATGGGGTTTGGAACTCACTTCTGGCGCTCCTAAGATTTGCCAGATTCCCCCCTGGCCGGGTGCTCCAAAGGGACTTTGGCCAGGAAGGGGCTTTCAGGGTCCCAGGGTCTGCTATTTAGTTTTTAAAAAACGATTATTGATAGTATATTTTCAGTCATATAAGTACAACCTAAGCACAACAATTTCCACCCATTCAATAACAACAGTTCAGTAATATGAATTATAATTGTAAGTATGTGGAATACCTTGGAAGGGTTTTTTTCCTTCCTGATTTATATATGTATTCCTATCGTAAAATATGATTTTAAACTTTAGGTTTGATTTGAAATCTATGGTCATATTTTGGTTGGGCAAGCAAGACTTTGATTTGAAAATGCAAGTTTCTATGGGTGATTCACTGGGAGATTTCTTAGTTCCTTCTTTTTTTTTTGCTTTTTCCATGACGTCCAAACCTCATGAACAACCCCAAAGTCCAGCAGCAAATATTGCATCATCTCAGGAGGCCACACCCCCTGGGGACCTCCACCCCAGCCCCTGGCAGAACCACCTGGGCTGCCTCCTCCAGGCTGGCCAGTAGCTGCAGCCTCAGACGCCAGAGTGGCTGGAGCAGTGGCGCAGTGAGATTCGGGTGCCCGGTGCCAGCCAGGACCAGAGGTAGGAGTGACCCCAGGGGCCCAGCTGACCCAGGCCTGCAGGAAGCCTCTCCCTCGGGGCTGCCCACGAGAAAAGAAAGGACCCGGGATCCCTTGATTCTTCTCTTTCCCTTTGGCCTCACACCCCAACCCCTAGTTTTATTTCCAAGGCCCCCAGAGTCCCCAGAGGGTACAGATCATTGCTCTGGCCTGCCCCTAACCAGGCAGGTGTTGCCCCTCGTACCCCAAGCTCTGTCCCTCTGCAGGGACCTCGCAGCGGCCCTGTGCCACGGCTTCTGGAGGGACGCATTGATGTCTGGTTCCTGCGTCCCCTCGAGTCACCCCAGACACTTGACTGTGGCCCGTGGGAGCCCCACGGAGGGACCTGGTGTCACCTGTCACCTCCAGGAGGGCAAGTGGAGCGTCCCCACAGGAGACAGGCCCGTGGGCCCCCGAGCATACTCAGGGCAGTGGGGGACACCCCACTGGCCATCACACTGAGTCTCCATCAGTGACCAAGCCATGCCTGTGCAACTGTGGGGAATATGTGTGACTCAAAAGAAAAAGTTCCGGGGCTGGAGTGATAGAACAGCGGGTCGGGTGTTTGCCTTTCATCCAGCCAACTCAGGTTCGATTCCCAGCATCCCAGATGGTCCCCTGAGCACCGCCAGGAGTGATTCCTGTGTGCAGAGCCAGGAGTAACCCCTGAGCATCACTGGGTGTAGCCCAAACAAGCAAAAAAGAATTAATAAATAAAAGTTCCTCTTTTCTTTTCCTTCCCTATCTTCTATTTTGTTTCCAAGTTCCTATTTTTATTACAGTTTTTTCTTCTTAGTTTAAGGACCTTGATTTTTGCTGTGTTGGTCTTGGAGATCAAACCTCTGGCTGAGGGTTTTAGTTCTTATGCGATTCCTCTGAGCCTGTGTGATTAGTGGGACCTCGGTGCTCCTGCAGAATTGCTCTAAGTTGTTCTCAGAGTGATGGGAAGGCTGGTGTGAAGAGAGCAGAGCGTCTCTCCTCAATATGACGACTGAGAGCAATTACAGTGAAGTGAGATTCAAAACTGAACCTCAACCCTCAGGTACCACATCACAGGTTCCTGCAGGTAAGAAACATTTTCTACAAGTTCATAATGAGATGAAGGATGGAAAAGGAAGAGTCAGTGAAGCATAGGTGACATTAAGTTGCTAATTTTTCCTATTGGATGCAGTTGGGAAATGCAAGTTGTTAGAAGCTGGAGTTGTCTAATATGAAGTAGGAAGAAGTCTGACTATCCCAAAAGTGAAGTGTGAGAGCTAACCCTTATCCCCACCACAGTCATTCTAAGGGGAGTGTTAAGTTGAGCATTGTTCTGCCTTGTGGGGTTGAGTTAGTCTACAGTCAGGAGATCAGTGTTCATCTCTTGTAACCATCAGCCCAGTGCAGGACCCTTGAGAATGAATGAATGGACTTCATTTCTTAATTAGTTAGAGAGGAAGGGTTTTGCAGGACTGTGTGTTTATTTATAGTTGTGAACTAATGGATAACAAAAGACCACAGCAGGTTAAAGGCAGGAAAGCCTTACAAAAACAGTTCATTGGATTTCAAGGGAAATATCTCTGTTACCATAAAATTGTTTTTTTGGGGGGAGTGGAGTGGATCGGGGGGCCACACCAGCCAATGCTCAGGAGTTACTCTTGTTTCTGTATTTAATTATCGCTCCTGGTGGGGCTTACCTCCTGTACTATAACTCTGGCCCCCCCCCCCCCCAAAATTATTTCATGCTTATATCCAAGATAGATTAAATATAGTTTTGGGTAGTAGAGCAAGGTATTTGAATAGCATGTAATATATCTTACACATAGAGAAAAACAGAAAGAAAAAAGCGTATAGTGTATAAGAAGCTAAGAAACACTATATGTGTATGTGATCGAGATTGTTCACTTTTCCAAAAACTAATGGAAACATGAAGAATTCTCAGGAAAATTTCTTCTTCCTCTAACAAACTTCATATAAAACTTTATTATATATTCAAGTGCTCCTTATAGAAAAAAAAGGCACGCAAGAATTTGAATTATATTAGTTATTATCATCTAGATATACTAGTAATTTAGATTTTAGTGGCTATAACTTCAGATGTAAGTAAATATAAGCATTTCTTTTGTAATCTTGAAATCATATTATCGACTACTGAGGGGATTCTTCATGACTTGGAAATATATCATAACATTGAGAAAATTAATTTATTTTTTGCTTGGGGTCCACACCCGAGGTACTCAGTGGCTCATCCTGGGTCCATGGGGGGTCCCTCCCTGCCAGTGATGTTTTGGGGATCATGTGCTGTCAGGGAGGGATTGGGTCTCCAGCATGGAAGGCATATGCTCAGCCCTTTGGGTTATTTCTCCAACCAAATTTCCTTATTCGTTGATTGCCTCGAGCAGGCCCCAGTAACGTCTCTTTCATCCTAGCCCTGAGATTATATTCAAGGCTCTTTAGTAGAATGAGACCCATCATTGTTACTGGTATTTGGCATATTTGGTACGCCACGGGGAGTTTGCCAGACTCTGCCCTGTGGGCAGGCTACATTCGATAGCCTGCAAGTTTGTCCAAAGTAGGAATGAGACAATAAGATGTCATAAAAAAAAAGTTCTGAAAGGATGTCGGTTCCGGGATCTGGATTTTATAGCCTCTGAGTCTTGGCCGCTGATGGGATTACATGGCGCCAGGGGGCCAGGTGGTGGGTGTGACCCCCGCCTACTGGAATTTGGAGGATCTGGGTGGAAGATGCTCGACTCCAATCCGAGTAGGCTTGGAGGTCTCGGCCCTGGAACCCGCGTGGCTTTGTCCCTCTGCCAGTACCTTCATGTGTGCAGAGAGTGGTCTCAGCATGGTGGTGGCTGGTCCTGGAGGTCTTCGGCTGCCGGAGCCCTGGTCGGGGCGGGGAGGAAAGCTCAACCCGCTCCCCTCCAAGGGGCCCCGGGAAGGAACACCCAGGCGCGGGGGCAGAAGACTGCCCACCAAATGCTCAAATTTCCTTAATCTAAGTAATATTGATTTGTAACAGTGACTTTTAAATTTTTCCGCTTGAGAATGCAATGTGGGTGTAAGCTGGCAGGAAGACCTCAGCTTCATTATGTGATTGCTTTTAAATTAATTTTGGGTCATTACAATTTCAAAAACATCTTACCATTGCTGGGCTCGAGCGATAGCACAGCGGGTAGGGCGTTTGCCTTCCATGTGGCCGACCCGAGTTCGAGTCTTCCGCCCCTCTTGGAGAGCCCGGTAAGCTACTGAGAGTATCTCACCTGCACGGCAAAGCCTGACAAGCTATCTGTGATGTATTCGATATGCCAAACACAGTAACAAGTCTCATAATGTTACTGCACCCGCTTGAGCAAATCGATGAAGAACGGGAGGACAGCGTTACAGTGCTTGCTATTGCCAATTTTTTCATGATGCTCATATTGGTTATGTGACCTCATACAATTGCAACATACAGTTTAAAACAATAGGGTTTGAGACATTTTATAGGCTTTGGGTCTATAGCATTACAACTCAGCATCTGCTAGAATCGCTGGCAGAAGTCGAGTTTCCTTCCTCCACCATATAATTGACACTTTGTACTTGATTCACTTTTCCTGTTTTCTGCTTTTCTCCAGTCACCACCATTTCACTACCTCAGTCTAAAAGAACATGATTCTTTTATCTTGGGGTCTCCCTAGCAATGTGCAGGGACCCTGACAAATATTCCTAGTGATGCTTTGTCAAGTATTCAAACAGTCCAGCCCTGAGACCATCATGTTGCTGGGCGCTGTGTGTCGGATCCTCATGCTTAGAGACTCACATGCGGTCTAGTATCTGCCCTTGTGCTTTATCTCCTGTTCCAAGACAAGAATAATTCTTAACACAAATTGTTAACCAAACAGACTTAGCCATACCTTAATGTTGCAATAAGGGTTGATTCTAAAGACTTAGCTGTTATGGCATTATATAAAGACGGACACAATTTGGGGGAAAAATCTTGATGATTAATAGCCTGTAAACGGAAGTACTATGCAAATACAAAAAAGAATACTGAAGAAAAACTGCGGGTAGAAGGGTCTTTCTGGCAGTGGAAAGGCAACAGAACTTTGGTGGTAGGTATAATCAGACATAGAATTCTGGCTGTCCTCACTGGGCCCCTTGGAGGGGGGGGCGGTTGAGTTTCTCTCTCCACCCTGCAGCTGAACACCTCTGGGACCCAGCCACAGCCATGCTGAGAACACTCTCCACATGTTTGAATGAGCCTCAAGCATGAAGGAACTGGCAGAGGAACCCAGGTGTGTGGGACCCTGGGCTGAGATCTCCAAGCCTGCTCAGTTCAGGACTGGGCTTCCTGCACCCAGATCCCCCATCTTCCAGTAGCTAGACAGTTACACCCACCAACTGCTGTGTAACCCCATCAATGGCCAAGATCCAGAGACTATAAAACCAAGCTCCTGGAAGCTCATGGCCACATTTGTGGCCGAGCGACCTCTTATTGTCTAGTTCTCGCTCTCAGAGAACCCGGCAGTCTACTGAGAGTATCCAGCCTGCATATATGCCTGACTAGCAACACCTGTAAAGGTGATTAGAAGCTGCCCCCAAAGCCGCCATCCCTCTAGGAGAGTCTGGCAAGCTGTTGAGAGTATCCTACCTACATGGCAGAGCCTGGCAAGCTACCCGTGGTGTATTTGATATGCCAAAAACAGTAACAACGATGGTCCTCATTCCCCTGACCCTGAAAGAGCCCCCAATATGCCATCAGTCTACACTAGCACGTGACAGGGACGAATAGAGACATCACTGGCTTCTGCTCGAGCAAATTGATGAACAATGGAATTATAGTGATAGTGATAGTGATAATCAGGTATATACATATGCAAATGTGAAGATAACCTCCCAAATTTCCATAATATTTTAAATCTGAAAAATAAAAAATACCTACCATGTGTTAACAATTAAATTATCAAATAATATATGGTAATCCAGTCATTTTGTGACATGTTGCTGGAAAAATATTAGCTATTTTAATAAGAAAGAATTAAATAATATTTAATTATATATTTGTATCATATTTATATATTAAAAACAAGTAACTTATTAATATTTAATATTAAAATGCTTTAAGATAAAAATATTAAAAGTAGAAATCCTTAATGGTAGGAACTTATGCTCTTACGTTTTTCCTAAATTTCTACAATGAATACTATTATTTCCTTTTCTTTTAAGTATCATATTGTTTGTATCAATTACAAAAAAGAGAAAAGAGAAAAGACTCGCCTGACAGTATTACTGATGAATCTAATTTGATTTCTTTTGCAGCTCCCAAAGATAGGACTTCACCTCCCAAAAGTAACACTGGTTGCCTCAAGCTACTTCTTGTCTCTTTGCTGATTCTTCTGCTGCTGAAAATCCTATTTCTAATTGTCACTATCAGTAAGTAGCTAATTGAATCTAGATGGAATATCTCCCTTACCTAAAGAGATGGCATCCTTTTGACACTGGCATCTTCAATAATGGGAGGAAATTATGCTCTTATGTGTTTTCCTAAGTTTCTACTTTCAGCCAGCTGAAGTCTTCTTTAGGCTAAACCAAAAGGCATCCATTGGAAATTCAGTGCTTTATTTGAGTTTAGTCACTCTTCCATGAAATAATGAAACCAACTCACTTGGAGAAAGTAAAGAGTATATGTATAGGCACATGTTTGCGTTGTAAAGTGAAACGTTAAGGTTATCATTGTCTACATTAGACTTTTGGGTAAACGAGGACAAATGTCTATTCCTTAATAGTATTGTTCAGGCCTTTTTACATTCAGGCACCTAGTTTGGGATGACCAAGAGGAAAAGGAAATGAGAAAAACTATCTCAGGCAGAATTTCCTATTGAATTTTTACCTTATTTTTTCCTGCCGTGTTCTACATAGATAGTATAAAAGTCAGTTGCAAAGAGATAGATATCCATATCCTGTTACCTGTAACTTGCACATTCCCTTGGCTTTATTTATTTATTTTTTAAGTTTGTAGCTATGCCCAGAAGTGTTTAGGGCTTGCTCCTCACTCTGTGCTCAGGAATCACAGGTGGTGAGATTTAAGGGACTGTCTAGCTACTCTACTAACTCTCTGGCCCCTGACACTAAGAATTTAGAAGATTTCTAAAAGGTGTAAAAACCAGTACATATTTGGATGTATATTTCATTTATTAATTTGGTCAATCAACATGCAATGATAACTACCCTCCCCTCTTTTTATTCAGCACTGGAATAGCGCAAAATGAGCAACAGGTAAATTTCCCAGTGATTGAGAGAAGTTCAGAGAATAGTGGAAAATTGTCGAGTCAACCAATGGTTTCAACACAATATAAGTGTTTTGTTGAGAAACAGACACGTCATATAGGCTTCCTGAAAATAGGTTTCCTAGAGCCATAGGAAAATCTGGGCAACATAATTATAAATAACTGGAACACACAGTGTTAAGTGAACTGTGAGAAATAAAGTTGTAGATGCAAAAAATAAATGGCCTTCAGAGCATGAAGAGTGCTGTGTACAATAATAATAGTTTGATTTTTGATTTTTTGGGGTCTTACCACATGGTGCTCATGGCTCTTGACTCAGAGCCTGGGGTTACTCCGTGAACTGCTGAGGATGGAGTCAAGAGCACCTGTATGGGAAGCATGCAGTCAGCACTTGGAGCTCTTTCTCCAGCCTCAAGCCTTTTTTTTCTCCCTGAAGTTTTTTTTAATCACTTATCTATTGTGGATTAATAAAACATTTTGCACTTAGTAGTTAAAATAACCATCAGGGGCTGGAGCGATAGCACAGAGGGTAGGATGTTTGCCTTACACGTGGCCGACCCTGATTCGAGTCCCGGCATCCCATATGGTCCCCTGATACATGCCAGGAGTGATTCCTGAATGCAAAGTCAGGAGTAACCTTTCTGAATTGCCAGGTGTGACCCAAAATGAAAAAAAAATTAACAAGCATCTGATTTAGTTTTAATCAATCAGCTGGGAAGTTCTTTTGAGCTGGCTGAAATCATTCTCACATAAAGCAGTCAGGTACCATAGGGGACAATTTGATGTTTGAAGAAAAGAGTTGGCAAGACAGGGGCAATTTGGTCACAATTATTTCAAAATTTCAAAATTCCTTGACTAGCCTGAGTTTATTCGGAAGGTGACTTTTAGGTTTCCAAAAATGAGAGTGAAAGTTAGAGAAATCTCTTGAAACCACAACGTGGAACTAATCAGAGTTGCTTCTAAAGAAGTTCCACATTGGTTCCACATTAGTTCCACAATGTGGAACTAATCAGAGTTCCTTCTAAAGAAGTTTTTAAAATCATCACTTTTTTTGTCCTTTCCCACACTCCTGATGTCAGAGTATGAGGGATTGAACCCAGGTCCTCACAAATGCCACACAAATATTCTATCATTGATAATAACATCCCTCAGACCAAATTAAAGGAAATCTTGGAGCTGTCTCAAGTTAAAGTGACGTAGAATTAGATTCTACTTGTTGAGAAGTAATATTGAAAATGAATGTGGTAGAAAAGCTGTAAAATTGTGGACATTCTTATAAAATATCACAACTATAGTGAGTCACTGTAGAATTTTCAAATGGAGGAGATATTATAATCAAATTTGACATATATAAATACATTTTTGTGAGTGGTATGTCAATGAAACATGTCAGAACAAAGTTGGAAACAAAATAGGATACCAATTCATTATCCATTTTCAAAACAGTAAGAACTTGACTCAAGTTTTGTGGTAGTAAAGAAATGAAGATAATGAGAAGGTAGTGATGATACCATCATTTGAATGATGGTACCACATCATATCATTTGAATGATAATGAGAATTAGAATCCAGGAAGTAGAGATTTAATGATATAAAGATAAGGGATAAGAATGGTTCAGATATTTTCACCTGATGAACTCAATAATGCAGATATTCACAGAGGTGTATTCTATAGTCTGGATAGCAGGTTTATGAGTGTAGATGGTGATTTTAGTTTGGGGTGCATTGAGTTTCATCGACTCTTGGAACCTCAAGTGGACATGTCTGATTGGAGGCACACTGTCTGGATTTTGTAATAGAAGTCTGAATTTCGTGATTATTATTGCATGTCGCAGATGAAACCCTGGGTACTCATATTATCACTCAGGAAGAGGCTTTCCAATGAGAAGGAGGATAAGAAATGTTACAACTGAAAGAAGGATGGACACAGAGAAGTGTAAAGTAACTAAAGAAGCATCAGCAAGAAATGTGAGGAATATTAGATTTTTAAAAAAGGTGAGAAGACTAATGAGATTAAGAAGCATCAGAAAGAAAGGTGAGGCAAAATCAGGAGACCATGGTGTCCCACAAATGAAGTGAAGAAAATAGAGTTCAAGAATTGCAAGAGGTCCAAGGAGAGAAACTTTAGAAGTGTCCCCAGCCTGTGGCTGGAGCCTTGCAAGAGTGGAGTGGTGAAGTGAAAGTCAATATTGATTGGTCAGGGAGCTTGGGAGAGGTGAGGAAGAAAGAGAAATCTCACTGTTTGGAGAAGGAGGTAGGTTTATCTTAAACTGTGAGAGACTTGAGTGTACTGGTGTGCAGAAGAGTGACAGTTGGGATAGAAGAAAGGGAAAAGGATAAAGAAACAAATGCTCTTCCCTCTTCGTTAGATTTAATTTTTTTTTTTACAGGTAACCCATATCTCAGAATTGATGGTTTTCTTTCCCAAAGACAGGATTTTACACCCTCAGAAATATTTAACCATTTCACCTCTCCCTTCTCCAAGGCTTAGCATTTACATGTCTAACCACTCACTTATTGCTGAAGGAGTTTATGAATAATTGCCTTTAGATCCATTATACAAGAATTATCATAGCATGTTTCATCCCACTCTGAAATAAAAATCTGTGGCTTCAACATCTGAAGGATTAGAATGTTTTGAATGCTGGACAATGAGATATTTTTTCTCATTCTCTATCCTTCTACTTTTTTTTTTTGGTATTAGTGGGTTTGTTCAAAGTAATATCATAGGGAAAACCTTATCAGTACCAGGAAAATGAACATTATTCTTTTTTCTAGGTTTCTTTCAAAAATATTCTAACCTTGTACAAGAAGAAAAGTTTACCCTAGAACTGACTCACACCATGTTGGAATGTAAGAAAGAAAACTCAACCATGGAAGGTAAGTGCTAATATGCGCATAGTGAGTCGCTGACTATAATGGGTAAATGATATTCTTTCAGGGCTGGAGTGTGGTAGGTCACTTGTGGGACAGTGATCCAGGGGTCCCCTTGGTCCATTCAGGGCTGCGGATCACCATCACCCCCAGCAGGCAGACTGTGATAGATGAACGAAGGAATGGGGGCCATAGGCTTGCAGGTAAACAGTGTCCATTTATTCAGGTCTCGCAGAGTTTGTAATAGAGAAATCAAGAAGGCTCAGGGGTAGCAGTTACACAAAGGTGTTGTTGAACGTTATAAGAAATAATAAACAGATATAAAGCTCTTCCTTCAGGGGGAGTTCTAGGAAATTCACTAAAGGACAGAATCTCATCTAGTGGCTCCAACACTCTAGATCCCTACTAGAAGACCCACCCAAGGGTGAATTCCATATAAGGGGGGTACTGCTTTCTCCTTTCCTTTGCTAGTAATTCATTTAAACAATCATATCAATTTTACTTTTCAATAATATTTATTGTCACTTGTATGATCACAGTAAGAGATATATTAAGTTTAAAGGGTGGTTCTTCCTGGGGACATCTCAATATATATCCTAGGCTCCAGTCCTTGGGTCAGGTTAGTCTTTCCTAACTCCAGTAGTGTTCTTATTCAGTCACTTCCTTTTTTTTTGCTGTTGTCAGTTTGTTCCATAACTGTGATCTTAGCTTATTATACTTGTTATTGCACTTTGTTGTCCCCTTTCAATGCCATGGTAGTTTATGGCTTGCCCTGGGTCCATCCATGTTCCTTTCCGGTACCTCCCTTTTGGGGTGTTATGAACTAAGGGAAACTGAGGATTAAGACAAGTAAATATGATGGATGCCCAGGAATAAATATTATTTGGGGTCAATTAACTCCCATGTTACAAAAGCATAGCATTAACTGTCTTCCTGTGTCTAGACAAAAAAGACATTGTTCTAAAATTAACTGTGCAAAGGACATAAAGGATGGAGAAAAGCAGTATTTCACTTACATATACAAAATCCAGAACGCTCAGAAGGATTTGACTTTACAAATTATAGGGTCTGATTTGGGGATATAAGTAATAGGGGAGGAAGGCGCAAAGGAGAGGTTAAAGAGAAACACGGAGGATTGGGGGTCCCTCATAAAATTGGGTGTGCCTTGTGAGCACTGTGTGGGTGTAAACCTAAGCTCCCACAGCGGGAGAAAGGAAAACCCAGAATTAAACCTAAAATCCTTAGAACTGTAATCCAACAGGTAAGGATCAAAAATCAATAGTTCCAGTAAGGTTCATAGGTAAAGGATACATAAAAACTGTTTCATAACAGTTTTAGGTGCACAAATATATCAGGTGTCAATTATTTAGTGTGCATATCTTAATCTTTGAAAATGTGATTGCATAGATTTTGGATTTCTTCTCTTTTTTTGCCACACCTGGCAGTGCTCAGGGCTTAACCTGGTTCTGCATTTAGGGATCACTCATTGACAGTGCTCTGAGTACATTATGGGGTGTCAGGGGTGAAACCCAAGTCAGCCATATGGAAGACAAGTGCCATGGTCACTGTATTATCACTCCGTTGGATTTCTTTAGTCTTCATGTATCTTTTTACTTTATGCTCACTCTTATTTCCCTCACATATCTATTAAAACTGACTTCCTCAAGAGAGATCTAATACAGTTGTGTTTAAGAAAATAAATATTTCACGCATTTAAATGTTTTCTTAAATAATACACAATACTTACTGTATAGAATTGAAGTCTGTTTAGTTTCAGTTTCCTCCACTTTTGAAGGCTGGAGAATGGCAACACAATGTCACTTAGGGCTGCAATGATAACACAAACTGACACCTTGTAAACAATAGATATTTATTTTCTTCTAGTCCCACAAGAGGGAAGGTTGAGATCAGTTGCCAGCACGATTGGTTTCTGTTAAGGAATTTATTTCTGGCTTACAGATAGATGTTTTCTTGCTGTGTGAAAATGGCTTTTCATCTTTACAAAGGGCATGGAGTAGGGAGAAGGAAAGAGGGAGAGAGAGAGAGAGAAAAGGTGGGAATGGAGAGAGAGAAATCGAGCATAGAAAGAGAGGATGGAGAGTGGGAGAGGGAGTTGAACGATAGAAGGTGGGAAACTGAGAGGGAAAAGTATTTTGGTGTATCTTCCTCTTTTTTGAAAGGTCAAAGGATGTACCAGAAATTTTGTTCCATGGCTTGGAGGCCAGCCACACATGATAGGGGAAAAGGCAGCTCAGATAGAGAAGGGAGCACCAAATAAGGGTATTGGGAGGATCCTCCCAGGATGGGAGAAGCATGCTGAAAGTAGATTATAGACCAAACATGATTGCCACCCATTGCATCTTTTGCAAACTACAATACCCAAAAGGAGAGAGAGAACAGAGGGGAATGCCCTGCCACAGAGGCAGGGTGAGATGGGGGGAATGGGGGGTGGGAGGGATACTGGGACCCATGGTGGTGGGAAATGGGCACTGGTGGAGGGATGGGTATTTGATCATTGTATAATTGAAACCCAAGCACAAAATTTGTAAGTCTACAACTGTACCTCATGGTGTTTCACTAATAAAAATTAAAAAAAAGATGTACTGGGTTAAAAGCTACCACTCTTACGATGCAAATTAACCAAACTTAACTTCTCAAAGGCTCTCTGCCTCCAAACATAATCTCATTGAGGTTCACAGTTTCAGCACGTGTGCTTTAGGAAAACACAATCCAAACTGCGTGTTCACAAAATATGTGTGTGTGGGTGCTCTCACCATATGCGTTCCATGGCCATGAACTGCTTCCCCATTCCAGATGGCCAACAGTGATGCATGAAAGAAAGAGAAACCGGGGTCACCAAGCTGTTGGTGATCAGTTGCCATTTATCCCAATCTCCGTCCCTCTGTTTATTCCATTCTCTCAGCATGCCTATTCCAATATCACTGAGAGTCCCATTCCGGTCTCATACTGCCCCCCCATTCCTGTCTCCCACATTTCTTATGCAGTCTTCCCGCATGCACCCAGTTTCAAAGCCTTAGTCAAGAAACCAACCTCCAACGTTGGGGACAGCAACTACACACAGGTAAGATAGAACATCAACATCTGTAAAGCCCTTTCTTCCTGGGAAGCTCTTCTAAGATGAATGAAGAGCTCATCCTGCTAGGAGATCCACTCAAGGACGAAATTTCATCTTTCCTTATTCCATAACCATTTAAACAGTCACCTTAAATTAACTTCTTAATAATCTTTCTAGTCTTTTTTTATGGACACAGTAAGGGATTAAGCTGAATGGGTGGCTCTCCTGGGAACATCTCACTATAGATTCCAGACTACAGTGCTCAGGCCAGATTAGTTCTTCCTAACCACAGCAGGGTCCTTGTCCATTCACTTCTCTTTGGGTCATGACAGAATTCGTCCATTACCTTGCTCTTAACTTATAAATTTTATGGCATTTGACCAAACCCATTTCAATTCTAGGGTAGCTTACAGCTTGCCCTGGGTCCATCCTGTCCCTTCATCAGTACCCTGTTTTTAGGGTGCTAGGAACTAAGGGCAACTGAGGTTTAAGTCAAGTAAATATAACAGATGTCCAGGAGTATATATTATTCAGAGTCAATTTTATCTCCTACGCATTAACTGTCATCTTGTGTCTATACAAAAAGGACATTGCTCTAAAGTAAATTATGCAAAGGACATAAGGTAAAGAGAAAAGCAATATTTCACTTACAAATACAAACTCCAGAGTCCGTAGAAGGAACTGACCTTTTTACAAGTAGCATGGTTTGATTTTGAGATATAGGTGATTAACAGGTAGGGGAAGCAGAGCACAGAGGAGAAGTTAAAGATAAGCACAGAGGAATGGGAGTGCCTTGGGAGCACTGTGATGGGCCTAACCCAATAAACCTAAGCTCCCTATGACGAGGAAGAAAGGACAAACTAATGTTACCCTACACCAAACCATAGCAATTTTGAGAATTTATACATTCTTGGCCTAAAGAGCAATTTTTCATTGAAAATGGGAGAGTTTTGTATTTTCTTCTGAGATTTTGAATTTTTAAGGTTCCACTAAGCCTCCCCTTCCTGAAATCTGGTGGTTTTTATGGCTCTTACTGGCACTATACTTTGGGATCACTGCTGCTGAAGCTCAGGGGATCATTTGTAGTACTGGATATTGAATTTGGGTCTGCCAGGTACAGACACACACCCTACCCACTGTACTCATTCTCCATCTCTTATCCAGGATATTGAAAAATAGTTTGGTTCTAGCTACCTTTTCTGACTATATACAGGAAAGGAAATGGGAAAATGCCTGTTACTGCCTGATGTAGGTGAGTTTGACCTACATGATACCTGATGGGTATGAATCCTGCTTAAAATTCAATAAACTTGGGCATAGATCTCCAATCCTGCTTGGATTGGGACTGGGGCCTCCTTTACCCAGATCCCCCACCTTCCAGGCTTATACCCACCAACTGCCCCCGGGGGTGTGTAATCCCATCAACGGCCAAGACCCAGAGACTATAAAACCCTGCTCCCGGAAGCGACATCTTATTATCTAGGTCTTGCTCTGGAGAAACTGGCAGGCTACCAAAAGTATGCTGCCCACATGGCAGAGTCTGGCAAACTCCCCGTGGCGTATTCAATATGCCAAAAACCAGTAATAATGATGGGTCTCATTCTCCTGACCCTGAAAGAGCCTCGAATGTAGCACTTTTTAAAATTTCAGGGCTAGGATGAAGGAGACGTTACTGGGGCCAGCTCGAGGCAATTGATGACCAACAGGATGATAGTGATACAGTGAATTTGGGCATTGTGATTCCACAAGATCATTTTTAAAAAATTTTTATTAGTGAGACATCATGAGGTACAGTTGTAGACTTACAAATTTTTCCACAAGATCATTTTTGTGATTTAAGTTTTATAAGCATGCATACTGAAATCACTTTTCTCTAGCCAAGGGGTTAAGGCAATTGTCTTGTATGTGGTTAACCATGGTTTTATATCTGGCACCAAATCTGACCCTCTAAGAACCATCAAGGCTCATTCCTGAGCACAGAGACAGGAGTAGCTCCTGAACACAGCTGGGAGGGATTCCAAAACAACAAAAATATCTCTTGTCTTATATTGTACTAATATGGCTAAATATCAACACAGGGAAATCCTGGAGCTGCTGCCCGAAGAATTGGAATCCATTTGGTTCAAATTGCTACTTTTTTTCTTCTGAGGAAAAAAACTGGACTGACAGCGAGAAGCACTGTGCAGAGATGCAGGCGCATCTGCTGGTGGTTGACAGCAAGGAGGAAGAGGTACTTTCCGGTCAACGTTGGAGTCATGGTCCTGCCAGCTCTGTCCCTCGCTCCTGCTTGGGAGGAAGTTCTCATGGTCAGGGGTGTTGCAGCCGAGGCATAAGGCTTTGGATAAAATAGATGGGACCGGACATCTAAGTCTTTGCATTCTACACTTTCTTCTGATTCCATTTAAATCCTCCCCATCAATATAGTGGGGTATTATAAGGAGGCTTGAGTGGAAAGATGGGTATATTTGAACAGGAAATATCAGTGAATTATGTGAATCTACATACATTTTATAAATTATTAGTTTCAATGGGGGCTATTTCTGATCATGGGATTGAAGATTGCTCCTAGCAGAGAGATTAATCTACTGGCAGCTGATCTACTTTTTGTGTGTCAGCCTTAAGCTTGACCTCTAACATTTTGAAGCCAAAATATAGAATTACTGGTGCATTAGGGTGGCCTGACTCTTATGGTCTCCAAGCACTAATAAAATGAAAACAACTGCCACAACAATAAGCAGAAAAGAGGAAATAAACAATACATAATCAACTGACACTTAATACCCATCTTCCAAGATTACCACACCACATTTGATGGGGTTCAAATGTAGTTTGAACCATGGAAACACCTGCAAGGGTGATTAGAGGCCGTCCCAATAGCCTCCATCCCTTTCAGAGAGCCTGGCAAGTAACTGAGAGTATCCCGTCTGCACGACAGAGCTTGGCAAGCTATCCATGGAGTATTCGATATGCCAAAACCAGTAAATACAATGGGTCTCATTCCCCTGATCCTGAAAGAGCCACCAATACAGCAATGTTAAGAAGGATGAGGAAGGAGAGGCTGATAAAATCTCAAGGCCGAACTAGGCTGCCCAAATGAACAACAATGACTGTCTGTATTTTCAATGCACATACGCTAGCATCGGATGCATCCATGGAGGACCTGATGGTGCAAGAGCTAAAGATCTAGTACAACATCATTGGTCTGACTGAGACGAGAAGGAATCAACCATACCACACCATTTTCAACACTGGAGAAGAACTGTTCCTCAGAACATGCAACACAAGAGGTGTTGGTGTTCTTGTCAACATGAACTTGGCCATGAGCATTGATTCATTCGAATGCCTAAGATCCCAAATAGGATGATTACACTTGAATTGATGTGGCTCACTTCTGGGGGTTTCTATCTTTGTTGTCTACGCACCAACATCCAATTATGATGAAGAAGAAATTGAGAAGTTCTACATGGAGCTGGAAAAGTTCTATAAAGAAGACCACACCTTCTACAAGATCATTGTCGGTGATTTTAATGCCAAGATAGGACTGAAAAGATCAGCTGAAGAACTCCACCTCGGGACCCATAGCCTAGAATGGAATGAACAGGGTGAGAGACTGTCTGAGTTCATCAAGTTGACCAAGACCATCCATGGTAACTCACAGCTCCAGAAGGCCAAATCTAAACGTTGGACATGGGAGTCTCCCAGTGGATGGTTCTACAATAAAATTGACCGCATCATATTCAATCGACGGTTTTGCCTGACCGATGTCACTATTGTCCCAAAATTCCAAACGGGATTGGACCACCATCTCCTTCGTGCAAAATTCTACCTCACGGAGCGTGGAGAAAGGGCTGCAAAGTTTTAAGAAGAGAACTCCCAGAACGACCACCAACTGGGAGCTCTTTGACACTATTGCAGTAACACGGGAAGATGCTGTCATTGACAACATTGTCGAGGAATATGATTGACTGGTTCAGCACTTCCATGATTTTGTGAGGAATGCCGAGAGATAGGTAACCACAAAATGATGACTGTCTTCAAAAACTCTCGAGCTCATTCACCAATCTGGCTTGGCGCAATCCTCAGGCAACCGCAAGTGAACATCTGAGCTCGCAAAGCAGTGCAGAGAAGCGATCAAGGAAGACCTCAAGGAGAGAAGAGCAGCAGTGCTGGCAGATGTGGCAGAAGCCGGGAAAAGCATTTGCAATGCACGGCTGTCCTTCGCCAACTACAAGATCAAGATGACTGCCCTCCAACGTCCTGATGGATCTAACACATCTTTCAGAAGGGCAATGGAGAAGACTATCCATGACTTCTACTCGGATCTCTTCGATAGCCATGTCCACCTTCCCACAACCAAATTCTGCAGGATGGATATGTTGTTCCCAATATTCTCCCTTCTGAAATCCGACACACCAGTAAAGAAGCAAACATCACCGTGCCCAGACAAGGTCAGACCTGAACACCTGAAGAACCTGCAGTCAGTACTCATCAATTCACTGGCTCGGCTCTTCTGTCTGAATGCAAGGTTCCGTCCTAATGAAAAACCAGTAGGACTGTAGTACTGTACAAGAAAGGAGACATCCATGACATTGGCAATATTGCTCTCTCTGCCTATTGTCTGTCATCTACAAGCTGTTCACTCGAGTCATCCTGAATAGGATTGGCAGAACACTAGATGAAGGACAACCATGTGAGTAAGCAGGGTTCTGAAAAGGATTCAGCACGATCGACCATATCCACACGATAGCCAAACTGATTGAGGTTTCTCGGGAGTTCAAGATGCTGCTCTGTCTAACATTCATTGATTTAAAGAAGGCCTTTGATTCTGTTGAGACTGAAGTGGTCATCGAAGCCCTAGGCAAAAAGCGCATTCGGACTCAATACATCAGGATCCTCCATGAGCTGTATTACAGATTCACTACCAGGATCTCACCATTCTATAAGGAAGTGGTCATCAATGTAAAGAGAGGGGTTCAGCAGAGTGATACCATTTCACCGAAACTCTTCAGTGCCACCCTCGAGAACATCATGTAACGACTGGAATGGGAAGGAATGAGATTAAAGATAGACGGTTGACAACTACACCACCTTTGCTTTGCTGATGACATTGTTCTAATAACACTAAACATTAGCCAAGCGGCACAAATGCTGACTGACTTCGACTGTGAGTGTGGAAAGGTCAGACTACAGCTGAATCTCACGAAGACAATGTTTATGAAAAAATGGTCTTGTTCCTGAAGCTCCATTCGCTCTCAATGGAACGGCCATCTCCAAATGCAACAGTTATGTGTACCTAGGTCAAGAAGTCAACATGATGAATGACCTGGCACCTGAGTTGCGCAGGAGGAAGAGAGCCGCTTGGAATGCCTTCAAGAGTGTCGAAGAAGAGGATAAAAAACCTCCGCTCTGGGCACATCTCTTTGATTCCACTGTTCTTCCTGCATTAACATATGCCTCAGAGACAAGGGCCCTAGGAAAATAGGATGAGAACGCTATTTGGATCTCCCAATGAGGAATCAAAAGAGTTATGCTTGGAGTATTACATTTCACTCAAGTGAGAGAAAGAATCCAGAGTTCCCACCTCCGTTGCTGATTGAGAATCAGGAACGCTGTCTCATTTGCCAAGGTGTCGAAAATCAGATGGGCTGAACACGTAATGCGATTTGGAGATGACCACTGGACTATAGCCATTACCGACTGGATTCCACGGGATGTCAAAAGATTGTGTGTTTTTTTGTCAAGACCCTGAATGAAAGGTTTGAGGCTCTTCGTGTTTCTGGAGCGGGCAGATGTCATTGGGCTATACTGGTATGCGACAAGGAAGAATGGAGATGTTGCTGGCACCCGCTCGAGCAAATCGATGAGTAACGGGATGTCAAGTGATCAATTGATCAAGTAATCAATTAAAAAGAGCCATAAAGTGAAATAGGAAAGGAATAAACAGTGATGAAGTGAAATAACTTAAGAAGTTATCAAAGGAAAGAGAATTCATGTCAATAATTTCTCTCCAGAACTTTGAAGACTCCCATCTCCTACTGATGAAGTGGGGGTGGGTGTGAGATGATGATTCACTGTGAGCACGGGCAGAAACCTCTGTCCTGTGTGCTGGGCACTGCAGTTCTCTAATGGATTCTGCTCTGAATTACAATCCTAATGCTGGGCTGGAGTGATAGCACAGAAGCAAGGGCGTTTGCCTTGCACATGGCTGACTGAGATCGATTCCCAGCATCTCATATGGTCTCCTGAGAACCCTCAGGAGTAATTCCTGAGTGCATGAGCCAGGAATAACCACTGCCATGTGTGATCCAAAAAAAAAGATTTCTAATTGCCAAAGGGATATAGGAAGTTGTGTCAGTGGCGCATCCTTAGGTATGAGACAGGAGCCTTCATGAATAGCATTTGTGGTCTTATTTTCCTTCTCTCCATATAAGCTCACTATGAGAGGTAATAATTTTGAAGAGGAAAAGAGGTCTTTTCCTGATCATGATGTTCTTCTGATCTGGGAACATCAGTCTGCATAACTATTTCAGTTGTTTATAAGCTGCCCTGTCTGTGGGGCTTTGTTTCGAGGCCTGAACACCTAAGACAAACACCGTCTTTCCAAGAGGTGCCTTTGATCCTGTATTGTTCAGTCACAGAAGACCCAGATCTCTGGGGCTGACCCTGGGTGCCTTTTCATGGACCCTTTCATTTTGGTGTTGTCTTTTTCCTATGGCTATAAAGGACTCAAAATCTAGGTGAATGCTATAAGCTCTAACCCACTTCTATTGTTTCCTAGGACTTTATCGAAAATAATTTGAATGAGGATCACGTTTATTATTTGGGGCTGTCAGATCTGAAGAATGGTCACTGGGAATGGGTTAATGACACACCATACAATCAAAGCGTCACGTGAGTATTGAACTGAGTAAGGGGATCCTGAGTCCTGCAGACTGTAGGAACTTCAGGAACCTCCAAATATCAGCTTTAAAATATTATTTTTTTTGCTCAGCGGGCCAAGTAACGTCTCCATTGTGAGACTTCTTGTTACTGTGTTTGGCATATTGAATACTCTTGGTAGCACACGCATAACTTCTGGGCATTAATTTTCATATTTTAATTTGCATTCTGCTACTAATCACCTCAAGAAGTCTATAAAGCATCATTTTCTTTTTCTCCGTGTAGAAATGAGGACACTGAATTTAGATGACCCGGGAAAAGTTTCCTGTAGTGGCAGCGATTATCTTCCAGCCCAGCTTTATTTGATATGAAACCTGTACTTTTGAAATTTATATATTCAAGATAATAAAATTAAGTCAAGAAAAATCACAGCCATTCTTTTTTTAATATATTTTTTTAATTTTTATGTATTTATTTATTTATTTTTTACTTTTAGTGAAACTCCATGAGGTACAGTTGTAGATTTACAATTTTTTGTGCTTGGGTTTCGATTATACAATGATCAAATATCCATCCCTCCACCAGTGCCCATTTTCCACCACCATGGATGATATCCCTCCCACCCCCATCCCCCCCATCTCACCTTGTCTCTGTGGCAGGGCAATCCATTGTGTTCTCTCTCTCCTTTTGAGTGTTGTGGTCTGCAAAAGAGGCTTTGAGTGGCAAAAATGTTCAGTCCATAGTCTACTTTCAACATGCATCTCCCCTCCTGGGAGGATCCTCCAAACACCCTTTATTTGGTGCTCCCTTCTATATCTGAGCTGCCCTTTCCCCTAGAATGCCTGGCTGGCCTCTAAGCTATGGAGTAATCCTCCTGGTGTTGATCTCAGCTATTCTTGGGTATCAATCTCATATTTTGTTTCTTTATATTCCCCAGATGAATGCAATCTTTCTATGTCTATCCCTCTCTTTCTGACTCATTTCGCTTAGCATGATACTTTCCATGTTGTACCACTTGTATATAAATTTCATGACTTCATCTTTTCTAACAGCTACATAGTACTCCATTGTGTAGATGTACCAAAGTTTCTTTAACCAGTCATCTGTTCGTGGGCATTCAGGTTTCTTCCAGTTTCTGGCTATTGTAAAGAGTGCTGCAATGAACAAACAAGTGCAGATGTCACTTCGACTATACATTTTTGCCTCTCTGGGATATATTCCCAGGAGTGGTATTGCTGGGTCAAATGGGAGCTCAATTTCTAATTTTTTGAGAATCGTCCATACTGTTTTCCTGAAAGGCTGAACCAGTTGACATTCCCACCAACAGTGAAACAGTGTCCCTTTCTCGCCACATCCGCGCCAACACCGATTGCTTTTGTTCTTTTGGATGTGGGCCAGTCTCTGAGGTGTGAGATGGTATCTCATTGTGGTTTTGATCTGCATCTCTCTGATAATGAATGATGTAGAACATTTTCTCATGTGCTTTTTTTTGCCATTTGGATTTCTTCTTTGAGAAAGTTTCTGTTCATTTCATTGCCCCATTTTTTGATGGGGTTGGATGTTTTCTTCTTGTGGAGTTCAACCAGTATTTTGTATATCTTTGATATCAACCCCTTGTCAGATGTGTATTCGGTGAATATCCTTTCCCATTCTGTAGACTGTCTTTGTATTTTGGTCACTGTTTCTTTTGAGGTGCAGAAGCTTCTTAGTTTAAGATAGTCCCATTTATCTATCTCTGTTTTCACTTGCTCGGCCAGTGGCATGGCATCTTTGAAGATACAATTAGCTTCAATGTCATGGAGGGTTTTGCAGACTTTGTCTTCAATAAACATTATGGATTCTGGTCTGATGTTGAGATCTTTAATCCATTTTGATCTTACTTTTGTACATGGTGTTAGGCAGAGTTCTGAGCCCATTTTTTTGCATATAACCGTCCAGTGATGCCAGCACAATTTGTTAAAGAGGCTTTCCTTACTCCACTTCACATTACTTGCACCTTTATCAAAGATTAAATGATCATATGATTGAGGGGAGATGTCGGTGTATTCAACCCTGTTCCATTGGTCTGCAGTTCTGCCTTTGTTCCAGTACCATGCTGTTTTAATTATTACTGCTTTGTAGTAGAGTTTGAAGTTAGGGAGGTTGATTCCTCCCATTTTCTTTTTCCCAAGAATTGCTTTAGCTATTCGTGGGGGCTTATTGTTCCATATAAATTTCAGGAGTGTTTGCTCCATTTCTTTGGAGAATGTCATGGGTATCCTTATAGGGATTGCATTGAATTTATACAATGCTTTCGGTAGTCTTGCCATTTTGACAATGTTAAGTCTCCCGACCCATGAGCAGGGGATATCTTTCCATTTCCTCATGTCCTCTTTTATTTCCTGAAGTAGCGTTTTGTAGTTTTCTTTGTGCAGGTCCTTTACTTCCTTAGTTAAGCTGATTCCTAGGTACTTGATTTTCTGGGGAACAATTGTGAACGGGATCATTTTTTTCATGTAGCTTTCTTCTCTCTCACTGTTTGCGTATAGGAAAGCCATGGACTTTTGGGTATTGATTTTATAGCCTGCAACTTTACTATATGAGTCTATTGTTTCTAGGAGTTTTTTGGTGGAGGTTATTGGGTTCTCTAAGTATAGTATCATATCATCTGCGAATAGTGAGAGCTTGATTTCTTCCTTTCCTACCTGAATGCCCTTAATATCTTTTTCTTGCCTAATCGCTATTGCAAGTACTTCCAGTACTATATTGAACAGCAGTCACAGCCATTCTTTAAGTGTAAGCCTTGTCATAAAGATATAAGATAGATTCTGATAGTTCTCACGTAACTTATATTTATGTAGGTGAAAAAAATCTCTTAGGCCAGAATGAAAGTACAGCAGTTAGGGTGTTTGCCTTGCACGCCCCCCTTCTTGCCCCTGATCTATCCCTAGCAGCTCATATGGTCCCTCAAACACTTACAGGAGTAATTCCTGAATGAAGAGACAGAATATCCCCTGAGCAATGCTGGGTGTGACCCAAAAAGCAAAACAAAAATAAAAACAAAAAGCCCAACTCTTTATATCCTTAAGTACCATTTAGTAAGTTAATACCTTAGAGACTCATAGGAACTATTTGAAATGTATAGGAATAGACTCTAGCTTGATTATTTTAGATTAAGAACAGAATACGATCTTATGACTTAGATAACAGTAGTAGAATCAGAAATATTTTTCTAAGAAATGTAATTTTATTTATTTATTTAAAAATTGTTATTTTCCCTTAAACTTTATATAAACACTGATCTGTACAAAGATGTTCATGATGATTTGTTTTACAGGCACTCAATATTCCAACTCCAATCCCTCCACTATTGTCTTCAACTTTTCTAACCAGACCTTCAGGCTCATAGCAGGCTCTCAATAGTTTATTTTATATTCTTTGTTATCAATAGTTTGCTAACACAATGATCATAAAATATTTCCCTAGAAGAAAGCTAGTGAAGATTGTTGTACTCACCATGGAGCCATAAGTTCTTATATGAGAGCTTACTAAGATGTTGATACAGGTTAAGCCTCCTTTACATATATATATATATATATATTTAATTGAAATTGATTGCCTTCTACATTACATCGCTTTCAATCTGGTATGCTACTCTTGGTTTATCAGTGTTATAGAATTTTAGATGTTATTCACCTGGCAAATATTTCAGGAAGTCCAAAACTTTTGATGGGGAGATATGGCTGGAGTTAAATTTTTTAAAAAAAATTTTTATTATTGAAACACCATGAGGTACAGTTGTAGACTTACAAATTTTTGTGCTTGGGTTTCAGTTATACAATGATCGAGTGCCCATCCCTCCACCAGTGCCCATTCTCCACCACCACTGATCCCAGTATTCCTCCTACCCCCCCATTCCCCCATCCCACCCTGCCTCTGTGGCAGGGTATTCCCTTTTGTTCTTTCTCTCCTTTTGGGTGCTGTGGTTTTCAAAAGAGGCATTGAGTGGCAATCATATTCAGTCTATAGTCTACTTTCAGCATGCATCTCCCATCCTGGGAGGATCCTCCCAACACCCTTTATTTGGTGCTCCCTTCTCTATCTGAGCTGCCTTTTCCACTAGCGTGTGTGGCTGGCCTCCAAGCCATGGAGTAAACCTCCTGGTACCTATCTCAGCTATTCTTGAGTGTTAGTCTCCATTTTGTTACTTCATGTTCCCCAGATGAATGCAATCTTTATATGTCTGTCCCTTTATTTCTGACTCATTTCACTTAGCATGATACTTTCCATGTAGTACCACTTGTGTGTAAATTTCATGACTTCATCTTTTCCAACAGCTACATAGTATTCCATTGTGTAGATGTACCAAAGAGTCTTTAACCAGTCATCTGTCCTTGGGCACTCAGGTTTTTTCAGTATTCTAGCTAATGTAAAGAGTGCTGCAATGAACAAACAAGTGCAGATGTCACTTCAACTATAATTTTTTTTCTTTTTGTGCACCCGGCGATGCACAGGGGTTACTCCTGGCTCTGCACTCAGAAATCACTCCTTGCAGTGCTCAGGGGACCATATGGGATGCTGGGAATAGAACCTGGGTCGGCTGCGTGCAAGGCAAATGCCCTACCCGCTGTGCTATCTCTCCAGCCCCTCAACTATAAATTTTTGCCTCTCTGGGATATATTCCCAGGAGTGGTATTGCTGGGTCAAATGGGAGCTCAATTTCTAATTTTTGGAGAATCGTCCATACTGTTTTCCAAAAGGGCTGAACCAGTCGGCATTCCCACCAGCAGTGAAGGAGGGTCTCTTTATCGCCACATCCGTGCCAGCACCTGTTGCTTTTGTTCTTTTGGATGTGGGCCAGTCTCTGTAGTGTGGATGGCTACTTGTAAAAAATGGCCTCAGAGCTCTCTCTAAAACGATGTACAACGATATCCCATTGTTGTTTTGATCTGCGTCTCCCTGATGGTTAATGATGTAGAGATTTTCTCATGTGGCAATACTTCCCAAAGCATTGTACAAATTCAATGCGATCC